TGCTGGTGAGTTGCCACCTGGCCGGTATTTTACCAGCACAACCGGTATTTCAGGCCACCTGGCCGGTGCCGGTATTGCAAACATACCGGCAATTCAAATGCCGGTATTTTTCTCTGTGATTTTAGAATACACTGTAATACCGGCACTGGCCAGTAGGTAAAGATGTGTGGAGAGAGGCTAGGATTGTAAGTTACATATCCCTGCCTCAACTCACTGAATCCGCAGGGGAAGCAGCTCAGAGAGTGCAGCCAGCAGCATGCGGCGATAACATACAGATCAGTTAAGTGTGGGTGGATTGGGGGTCACAAGTGGGACGACATGCTCCTCTCAGAAAAAAAAACATCCCAGTCCAGTAACTTCTAAAACTTTACAGCCCTTATGATCTAGGACTGTAACCGTGGCTGGTTCCCTTATTTACCACTATAATGTCTTAAAGCATAGAACTTAGTAGGGCTAACCATACAGATATCTTAGCCATAATTTTATATAGTTAGTAAGAGATCCTCTATTTACCATATATAAATAATTGAGAATACAATATAAAATAAGGATTGTCTTGGAAGCAAGATTGTCTTTTTGGATATTTATTATATAAAAATATAAAATCCATTATAGCAGAGTTTATAAGATTAAATTACATGCTTGCAAATATCATTAATAGATTAACATACCCTTCTGAACATGTCATCATGTCAGCCTCTCTGTCATTTTAAGATGGAGCAGCGTCTGTCTCCAAGTCTCGCCTCTGTTTCCTAACATTTAAAAGTACACCTATTTATACCTTAGGTGTCTCCATTTTAGGTTACTGTAGTTCAAATATGAAAAATTAACACTTCTTTTACTTTATTCAATTTAGGACCTCCCTTAATTTGGCAAACATACAAGGCCATAACTAAAGGGTGTATACGTCATGGAAATTTTCCTGACTTAATTCAAGATGGCATCTTAAAGTCTGAATAGGTTATCTGTTGTTTATACTAAGTCGTAAGTATACAGTCGCGGGAGATTCCAGGATTTGGGGAAGTTCCATTAACTTGGGGTTACCACAGTATATTGTGTACTGCAAGTGTCGTAGTATAGCCTTGAAGCTTGTTTATGCATTATTGTTATTGTAATTCGTCTGGGACAAAATTATGCACTGAGGTTATTGCTTAAATAAACATCTATGAGAAACAATATGTTCCATTTCTAACACCTTGTCAGTTTGCAATATCTCTTAAAGACAAAGTACACAGTTTAAGAAATACAACGTTTCATTCTAAAACTTGTAATATTTGCATTTGCCCATAACAGGACAGTGATGGCGAACCTGTGGCACGTTGGGCCCTTTCTGTGGGCACGCGGCCATAGGTTTGCCATCAATGCAGAGTAGGCACCTGCTTGCCCAAAACGGCAGGCGCCTACTCTGCTTCCGTGTCGGGAGGCAGGGGGAGGGATCTGTGAAGCAGCTCCCCTGTCCTCGCGCGAGCAAGCTGTGTGGAGCGTTGCCGCGCGTTACGATGGCAATGCTCCACACAGCCTCGCGCGGGAGTACAGGGGAGCTGCTTCACAGATCCCTGCCTCCCGACACGGAAGCAGTGCTTGGCACCACCGTACCACCAGGGATGGTTGTGTCCCCCCCTCCTTCATTAAAGGTAAGCAAGAGGGAGGGGGGAAATACTGATTTAGCATACTTTAAAAAAACACAAACCAAAAAAACTCTTTACCCCAGCCCGACAAACACACAGCACACCCCTACCCCCCCACACAGCACCCCTCCCCTCCACCCAGCATCCCTCCCTCCCCACCCCTAGCCCCCACACACAGCAGCCCTACCCCCATACACAGCACCCCTTATACACACACACACAGCACCCCTCATACACACACCCCCACACACACACACACACACACACAACACCCCCCCACACACACAGCATCCCTCACACACACATACACTACACTACACTATCTATTTATATCATTAGTTAAAATTTGTATCATTGAACTCTCTGTTGTGTTCTTTTAAAACAAAAGTTGTTAATTAGTTCAGACAACAGTACGAGTTGTTTTTTTCTAAACTTAAACCTCAGTATGGCACTTTAAGGAAAAAAAAGTTGGCATGTATTCCGGTTTGGGCACTCGGGCTCAAAAAGGTTCGCCATCACTGATCTAGGACTTTGTTCTGGATTTTTCATGGAAACTAGCTTGGACTAATCAGTTTCAGCATTATAGAAAATAATTTCTCTTTGCTTACTTAAGTGAAATATCATTATCCTTTAGGGAATGATGAGAGGAGAAACAAGTTTCTAGTATAAACACGCTAAAAGACAAATGTCCTGATTTTAAGTTTTATGGAAGGTCTGAAACCTGCTGTTTTGCTCCTAGACTGCAGCTGTGACCCATGAAAAGCCTACAGTCTTTATAACTGGTCTTATCAAACTTCTCCCTTATAGGATCCATATCCTGGCTTTTCAAAATTGGCATATTAAATCTTTTGCAGGACTGGATCCTTAATGTTGTTGAGGAACAAGGGGGGGCTGCTTTCTGTGTGTATTTAGCAGTGAGTGTGTATATCGGCAGTCTGTGTGTTTATGAATTCAGCAGTCTGTGTGTGTGTATTCAGCAGTGAGTGTATGTATTCAGCAGTCTGTGTATGTATATTCTGCAGTTTGTGTGTGTGTATTCAGCAGTCTGTGTGTGTATGAATTCAGAGCAGTCTGTGTATGTATTCAATAGTCGTAACAGACCGTTTTGCACACAAGAGGTTAAAAACCATTTGGCGATATTCCCCTTTTCAGATGCACAGGCAGCTACTGCAATCACCAATCTCCCGAACTGCAACCACACGAATTCACCAATCTCCCAAACTGCAAACACATGAATTCACCTGTAACCGTGGCTGGTTCCCTTATTTACCACTATAATGTCTTAAAGCATAGAACTTATTAGGGCTAACCATACAGATATCTTAGCCATAATTTTATATAGTCAGTAAGCAGGGGCGGACTGGCCCACCGGGATACCGGGAAATTTCCCAGTGGGCTGCGGCACCTGGGGCCGGTCTGACAGCCCTAATCATTGGGCTGACAGCTCCTGTGATCCCGGCCGGCCATGTGTGAGCTGTGCGGCCGCACAGAGCCCCATGGGAGCACGGGGAGCCAGGCGGCTGGCACAGCTCACACATGGCCTGCCGGGATCATTAAAAAATAATAATATTTGCGGCGGGGGCGGAGCTTACATGCGACGGGGCGGAGCTTAGTGTGCGGCAGGGCGGGGCTTACTTGCGGCGGGGCGGGGCTGACTGCAGCATGGGAAGCAGGAAGGAGTCCCTGCTTCCCCAACAACAAGCCTCCAGGAGCTCCAAGCAGGAGGTAAGAAGCAGGTCAGTGTGTCTGTGTGAGTGTGTGACTGTCTGTGTGTGACTGACTCTGTGTGACTGCGACTGTCTCTGTGTGACTGTGTGACTGCGTGTGAGTGTGTGACTGTCTGTGAGTGTGTGCGTGACTGTCTGTGAGTGCGTGTGACTGCCTGTGAGTGCGTGTGACTGTCTCTGAGTGTGTGACTGTCTCTGAGTGCGTGACTGTCTCTGAGTGCGTGACTGTCTCTGAGTGCGTGACTGTCTCTGAGTGCGTGACTGTCTCTGAGTGCGTGACTGTCTCTGAGTGCGTGACTGTCTGCCTATGTGTGTGCGTGACTGTCTGCCTATGTGTGTGCGTGACTGTCTGCCTATGTGTGTGCGTGACTGTCTGCCTATGTGTGTGCGTGACTGTCTGCCTGTGTATGGCTGTCTTTGTATGTGTGGGTGTTTGCCTCGATGTCAGTGACTGTCTGCCTGTGTGTGTGGCTGTCTTTGTATGTGTGGGTGTTTGCCTCGATGTCAGTGACGGTCTGCCTGTGTGTGTGTCTGTCTGCCTGTGTGTGTGTCTGTCTGCCTGTGTGTGTGTCTGTCTGCCTGTGTGTGTGTCTGTCTGCCTGTGTGTGTGTCTATCTGCCACATGTGTGTGTCTGTCTGCCTGTGTGTGTGTCTGTCTGCCTGTGTGTGTGACTGTCTGTGTGTGTAACTGTCTGTCTGTGTGTGTGACTGCCTGTGTGTCTGTCTGTCTGTCTGTCTGTGTGTGACTGTCTGTCTGTGTGTGTGACCGCCTGTGTGTCTGTCTGCCTGTGTGTGTGTCTGTGTGTGTGTCTGTGTGTGTGTCTGTCTGCCTGTGTGTGTGTCTGTCTGCCTGTGTGTGTGTCTGTCTGCCTGTGTGTGTGTCTGTCTGCCTGGGTGTGTGTCTGTCTGCCTGGGTGTGTGTCTGTCTGCCTGGGTGTCAGTGACTATCTTCCTCTGTGTGTGTGTGTGCGCGCATCTGCTAGTGAGGGAGTCTCTGTGTGTGTCTGTGTATGACTGCCTGTGTGAGTGTGTGACTGCCTGTGTGTGTGTGACTGTCTGCCTGTGTGTGCGTGACTGTCTGCCTGTGTGTGCGTGACTGTCTGTGAGTGAGTTTGTGTGTGTGTCAGTGAGCTTGTCTGTAGGGATCACATGTTTGTGTGTTAGTGAGCTTGTCTGTAAGGAGCATGGGTGTGGTGAGCATGTGTGTACAGTGAGCTTGTCTTTATTAAGCATGAGTGTGATCGTGAGCTTGTCTGTAGTGACCATATGTGTGTCAGTGAGCTTGTCTGTAGTGACCATATGTGTGTCAGTGAGCTTGTCTGTAGTGACCATATGTGTGTCAGTGAGCTTGTCTGTAGTGAGCATGTGTGTGTCAGTGAATCTGTGTGTTAGTGAGCTCTTCTGTAGGGAGCGGGTGTGTCAATGGGCTTGTCTGTAGGGAGAGTCTGTGCGCATCAGTGAGCTTGTCTGTAGGGAGCGTGTGTGTGACAGTGAGCTTGTCTATAGTAAGCTTGTGTGTGTGTGTATCAAAGTTTGTCTGTACTAAATTTGTGTGTGCGCCAGTAACCTTGTCTGCGTGTGTGTGTGTGACTACCTGCGAGTGTGTGACTGTCTGCCTGTGTGTGTGCGTGACTGTCTGCCTATGTGTGTGCGTGACTGTCTGCCTGTCTTTGTATGTGTGGGTGTTTGCCTCGATGTCAGTGACTGTCTGCCTGTGTGTGTGTGTGTGTGGCTGTCTGCCTGGGTGTCAGTGACTGTCTGCCTCTGTGTGTGTGCGCGCATCTGCTAGTGAGGGAGTCTCTGTGTGTTTCTGTGTATGACTGCCTGTGAGTGCGTGACTGTCTGCCCGAGTGCGTGACTGTCTGCCCGAGTGCGTGACTGTCTGCCTGTGACTGCGTGACTGTCTGCCTGTGACTGTGTGACTGTCTGTCAGTGCGTGACTGTCTGACTGTGAGTGTGTGACTGCCTGTGAGTGTGTGACTGCCTGTGAGTGTGTGTGACTGTCTGTGTGAGTGTGTGTGACTGCCTGTGTGAGTGTGTGTGACTGCCTGTGTGAGTGTGTGACTGCCTGTGTGAGTGTGTGTCTGTCTGTGACTGTCTGTGTGACTGTGTGTGTGTGCCTGTGAGTGTGTGACTGTCTGTGTGTGACTGCCTGTGAGTGTGTGACTGCCTGTGTGAGTGTGTGTGACTGTCTGTGTGTGACTGCCTGTGTGAGTGTGTGACTGTCTGTGTGCCTGTGAGTGTGTGACTGTCTGTGTGAGTGTGTGTAACTGCCTGTGTGAGTGTGTGACTGCCTGTGTGTGTGTGACTGCCTGTGAGTGTGTGACTGTCTCTGTGTGACTGCCTGTGTGTGTGCGTGACTGTCTGCCTCTGTGTGTGTGCGCGCATCTGCTAGTGAGGGAGTCTCTGTGTGTGTCTGTGTATGACTGCCTGTGTGAGTGTGTGACTGTCTCTGTGAGTGCGTGACTGTCTGCCTGTGAGTGCGTGACTGCCTGTGAGTGTGTGACTGCCTGTGAGTGTGTGACTGCCTGTGTGAGTGTGTGGCTGCCTGTGTGAGTGTGTGACTGTGTGTGACTGCCTGTGTGAGTGTGTGTTTGTCTGTGTGACTGTCTGTGTGTGTGCCTGTGAGTGTGTGAGTGTGCGTGACTGTGTGTGTGTGACTGTCTCTGTGTGACTGCCTGTGACTGTCTGACTGAGTGTGACTGTCTGCCTGAGTGTGACTGTCTGCCTGAGTGTGACTGTCTGCCTGAGTGTGTGTGTGTATGTGTGTGGCTGTTTGCCTGTCTTTGTATGTGTGGGTGTTTGCCTCGAAGTCAGTGACTGTCTGCCTGGGTGTCAGTGACTGTCTGCCTCTGTGTGTGCGCGCATCTGCTAGTGAGGGAGTGTGTGTGTGTGTGTGTGTGCCTGCTAGTGAGTTTGTGTGTGCCTGCTAGTGGGTGAGCTTGTATGTGTGTCAGTGAGCTTGTCTGTAGGGATCACATGTTTGTGTGTTAGTGAGCTTGTCTGTAAGGAGCATGGGTGTGTCGGAGCATGGGTGTGGTGAGCATGTGTGTACAGTGAGCTTGTCTGTAGTAAGCATGAGTGTGATCGTGAGCTTGTCTGTAGTGACCATATGTGTGTCAGTGAGCTTGTCTGTAGTGACCATATGTGTGTCAGTGAGCTTGTCTGTAGTGAGCATGTGTGTGTCAGTGAGCTTGTCTGCAGTGAATCTGTGTGTTAGTGAGCTCTTCTGTAGGGAGCGTGTGTGTCAATGGGCTTGTCTGTAGGGAGAGTGTGTGCGCATCAGTGAGCTTGTCTGTAGTGAGCGTGTGTGTGTGACAGTAAGCTTGTCTATAGTAAGCTTGTGTGTGTGTGTATCAGAGTTTGTCTGTACTAAATTTGTGTGTGCACCAGTAACCTTGTCTGCGTGTGTCATTGTCTGTCAATGAGCCTATTTGTGTGCATCAGTAAGATTGTCTGTGTGTGAGTATGCTTTACTGTATAATTTAATTACCCTAAAATAACTAATATTTTGAATTAGAAGAAGAAATGTATCAATAAAAAAAAAATAGTGTGTGTATATATATATATATATATATATATATATATATATATATATGTATATATATATATATACTGTTGCATCACCAGGGCTCCAATATCCAGTATATATATAGGCAATTGAAATAGTTGGCTGCACTCTCGGATTTCCTTAAAATTTTACTTTTATTGAAATATTTAAGAGAAGATCAACGTTTCAGTCCCTCTTGTGGACTTGCATCAGGATCATGACGAAAGTCCACAAGAGGGACTGAAACATTGATCTTTATATTTCAATAAAAGTTACATTTTCAGGAAATCCGAGAGTGCAGCCAACTATTTCAATTGCCTATATATATTTATATATATATATATATATATATATATATATATATATATATATATATATATATATATATATATATATATATATATATATATATATATATATATCCCCAGTCCGGCCCTGTCAGTAAGAGATCCTCTATTTAACATATATAAATAATTGAGAATACAATATAAAATAAGGATTGTCTTGGAAGCAATAGTTTTGTCTTTTTGGATATTATATAAAAATATAAATATAAAATCTATTATAGCAGAGTTTATAAGATTAAACTAAATGCTTGCAAATATCATTAATAGGTTAACATACCCTTCTGAACAAGTCATCCTCTGTCATTTTAAGATGGAGCAACGTTTGTCTCCAAGTCTCTCCTCTGTCTCTTAACATTTAAAAGTACACCTATTTATACCATAGGTGTCTCCATTTTAGGGTTACCGTAGTTCATATATGAAAAAGTAACAGTTCTTTTACTTTATTCATTTTAGGACCTCCCTTAACTTGGCAAACATACAAGGCCATAACTAAAAGGTGTATACGTCATGGAAATTTTCCTGACTTAATTCAAGATGGCATCTTAAAGTCTAGATATCCTTATCTACTTAAGGTTACCACAGTATATTATGTACTGAAAGAGTCGTAGCATAGCCTTGAAGCTTGTTTATGCATTATTGTTATTGTAATTCGTCTGGGACAAAATGGCGCAAACATATTATGCACTGAGGTTAATGCTTAAAGAAACAGTTATGAAAAACAATATGTTCCATTTCTAACACCTTGTCAGTTTGCAATATCTCTTAAAGACAAAGTACACAGTTTAAGAAATACAACGTTTCATTCTAAAACTTGTAATATTTGCATTTGCCCATAACACACCAATCTCCCGAACTGGAACCAGGGGAATGCTCCAAACACACGAATGCTGTAGACAGCCGAACAGGAAAAACCAATACGAACAGTTTACACTCCTGGCAGTCGCACTGTAACAGCATACAATCCAATTTCCCCCAAGAACGAGACGACACTTTGTTTGAGGGCCAAGCAGAACTAATTTACTGGGACTACCTGCCCGGCTTTTATGCAGGTCTCCCACCTGGTGGACACTCCCCTAGGGGGCCAGATGGAAGACTGGGAAACATATTGGACATTGACCAATCACAAGCTTACAAACCAACAATGCATCACAATCCCTCCTCTCTGTCCTGGAGATAATTGGGAAGTAATCCAATTATCTCCAAAGACAGAGGCAAAACTCCATTAACCACATGGCAGACAAAGGATAGTAAAAGACACAAAATTACACACTGTTACATTTATCACACAGAACACACACATTCTACCTATCCCCGGATAGCTTAGATCTGAGCGCCCATTATTACCGGATGGCGCTCAGATCACATACATACAGTTCAATCGCCATGGAGTCAAAGTCTTTCATACAGTCTTTCAATATATGGCTGGGCTCCACGGCATAGCTATCTGGGGTAGCATGGTCCAAACAGTAAAGACACTGGGAGACTAAGGGACACTGCAACATGGAGACACTGCGAAACAGGGAGACACTGGGACATTGAGAAACAGGGAGACTAAGGGACAATGAGAGACAGTGAGACACTGGGAGACTAAGGGACACTGAGACATGGTGACACAGGGAGACTAAGGGACACTAGGAGACTAATGGACACAGAAACAAAAACTGCGAGACTAAGGGACACTAAAAGACAAGGAGACACTGAGAGACTAAGGGACAGGAAGACACTGGGAGACTAGGGGACACAGAGACATGGAGGCACTGAGAAACTAAAGGACATGGAGGCACTGAGAGACTAAGGGACACTTAGACATGGAGGCACTGAGAGACTAAGGGACACTTAGACATGGAGGCACTGAGAGACTAAGGGACACAGACACTTGGAGATCAAGGGACACTGCGAAACAGGGAGACGCTGAGAGACTGGAAGACTAAGGGACACTGTGAAACAGGGACACAGACACCAGGAGACTAAGGGACACTGAGAGACAGGGAGACACTGGAAGACTAAGGGACATGTGAAACAGGGAGACACTGGTAGACTACAACTACAATAATTCTCATACACCATTCCTATATCCATCCAATAAGAAAAATTCTAATCAGGTTTACGTTTGCAGAATTTTAACTTTCCTAATCAAGAGTCATTATCCTTAATATCAGAACAAGTCAATACCTCTGGATAAAGATTTGGTATGCTAACATTTAGCAAATAATATAACGTTATCTTTATTCCACCTGCAGGAATGGAATTTTTATAACCATATATTCCTTAGCTAGTTATGATTTCTAATAATTTAAATCTGCCCAATATTTATCCAGATATATATTCTTGGTATTAGTAAAAATTAATTAAATGTAATTAAATAAAACCAGCCTAATTACCAGTTAGGTTGTGTAGATATGTCCCATGAATTTTTTAATGCAAGTATGATGTATAGAGAATTGTATGAAAATAGAAAAAGTTCTTCAGAATTCTGAATTTTAGAGAATTTTAAAGTTAAGTGTTAGTTGAAAAATATAAAGAATTAGGTGTGTCCTGCTTTGGCTCCAGATGTCAGATCTTAGCTGTTAGATGTGAGTCCATTCTCAGAGTGGGATGGTCTAGAGAGTATGAGTCTGAGTGTTTGAGAGTGGGAGTCTTGAGACCAGTCCAAGAGTCAGAGTGTGTCCCTCTCTTCCCTTTGTCCTTACTTTTTAGAGGAGAAATTCCCTGTACGTCACTAGTTAATAGTAACCAATAGCAAACTGTGGGTGTGTCCTCCCTACAGACTATCATCTCGATTTTGGTCAGTAGATGGCGCAATTACATCACTGAAAATTCTTGTCAGGGGGTCCATTTACCTTTTTGTATAATGGGTTAACTGAATTTCGTGATGCGTTTGTCGTCATCTGGTTATCTTTTTATGGCTACTATTCGTCAAAGAAGCTATCATCTTCAAAGGTTTTCTTTGGTTTTAACCCAGACTTGGTGTCTATCGTATACCTTTAAATTTAGATTTCTGACACATCTTAAACTCTGCTACACCTCTCCTTACAATGCAACTTGTTTTTTTTGGAAAGTAAAATTAATTACTTAGTGTTCTCTGTCATTTGATGTCTGGTTTTCTTACAGTGAAACTGTAGTTAAGATTCCACAGATTCCACATACATTAGTAAATAATATGATATTTCTTCATTGATATTATATCCATGAATATGCTATATTATTAACTTAGTACTATTTATATATGATTAATATAATATAGTAAGTTATATGAGGATATAGTGTGTGTGTAATATATATATATATATATATATATATGTCTCTGGGTTGTAACATTCAACCTCCCTTTTGCTGCAAACATCATGCCTTATCTCTTGTTTTGTTTGCATAAGTTGCATTCTTTAGCTCAGACGTTAACAAATAGAGTTAGAGAGAGAGAAATTTGTGTCTGTCTTAGCCTTGTAATACAAAATGGAGTCACCTCTGTTCTGATGGTGACTTACAGTACACACTTTTAATTTCTATCTTAACACAAAATGTCTGCCAGTATAAATATACTGACAGGACACTGAGACACTGTGAGACTAAGGGATACTGAGATACAGGGAGACTAAGGGACACTAGGAGACTAATGGACACAGAGACATGGAAACATTTGGAGACTAAGGGACACTGCGAAACCGGGAGACACTGCGAAACCGGGAGACTAAGGGACACAATTGGAGACTAAGGGACACTGCGAAACAGGGAGACATTGGGAAACTAAGGGACACAGAGACAATTGAAGACTAAGGTACACTGCAAAACATGAAGACACTGGGAGACTAAGGGACACAGAGATAGGGAGACAATGGGAGACTGAGGGACACTGCGAAACAGGGAGACACTGAGAGGCAGGGAGACATTAGGAGACTAATGGACACAGAGACATGGAGACAATTGGAGACTAAGGGACAATGCGAAACAGAGAGACACTGGGACACTGAGAGACAGGGAGACTAAGGCACACAGAGAAAGGGAGTGTCAGGATTACTGTATGCTCCAGCACGTAGAATTGTGTAACACAGGTGACTGATAGGTAATGTATACCGGACCTTAGAATGGCCAGACTAATGTACTAAAGAATAGTCAGGAATAGCCGAAGTCAGGGGACACAGAAAGGAACACGACGATAAAGGAATGCCAGAGGTCAGTGATGCCAGAAAACAGGGAAGTCAAAATCAATGCCAAAGTCAAATAACCAGAATCAATAACGCGCTCTCAGACAACCACTAGGGAAACCACGACAGGGCACTGAGTGTCAGGTATAATGAGGTTTAAATACCTGTTCAAATCCTCTGATTTGCTAAAATCGGTCTTTGACCCCAAAACATGCGCGCGAGCCAACGTCGTCAATCACGTGAGCAAACGTGGGGGTATATTTTGCCGTGGATCTGCAGCGTCCATTAGCACGGCCGCTGGGTGCAGAGACAGCAAGGTGAGGAAGAATATGTTACAAGGAGACATTGGGAGACAGCGGGTGCAATCCCTCTATACAGCAGAATCACACTGCGAGTTTATTGGGGATATCACAGAATTTTCTCTTGTCACTCCTTGTGATTTACAACCTGTGATGTCACACATACATAATTATTTATGCAAATTAGTATGGCCAGTATTTGTTTCCCCAAGAAAGGTGGTAACCCTGGAGTAGCCCTGTCGGATTTGAGTGAATAATAAGCCTGATGTTATTTATGGCTGCTGAATTTCTGCAGTGCTGTCAAAAAGCCGGACTCAATCTCTGCTCACATTGCTTGATTCCTCTTTACCATATAGCGCTCAATGAATGGCAGCTAACTGCGAGTCCGTGCTACCACGCAGCTCCCACCGTTGTGACACGTCAAACTGGCGAACAAGCATTTGACTGACTTCCCAACCAATCAGCGCCTGGCATCAACCAAGATCGTTTTGTTTTGGGGTGTTTTTTTTTTCTCACTCCAACCAATCACCGGCTGAGGAAAAGATGCGTGGACGGGCGCGAGGCCAATCCGCTGCCGCGTGGAGGCGACGGTTTGGAGCGCGAGCGACGCCGCCGCTGAGCTCAACTGCGCACGCGCCACTGCTCGCTCGCGCGCGTCTCCTCCAGCTGTGGGATCTCCATTCTCCACCGGCCGCTGTGTGAGGAGCGGACCGGACATTTTTATTCTATATCTTCTTCCTCCTGTCTGTGTGTGAGGAGCAGACCGCCCGCCATTATTCGCCGAGATAGCGGCGGCCATTACCGAACAGCAAAACAACCTTGTGTCTACGTCCTCCCCCTTCCGCGTCAAAATGTCGGCGCAGGCCCAAATGCGAGCCATGCTCGACCAGCTCATGGGGACCTCTAGGGACGGTAAGCTGGCCGTGTGTTACCTCAGAGTGTGACCGTGTGGCTTCGTGTTAGTGTGTGTGTTTAGTCCTTTCATCAGAGCTGTGTGTGGAGAAGTAGTTATGGTGTCTGGGACAGGTGTTACCAGTGAGAGGCTATTGACAGTGTTTTTTTCCGGTTGTTACTATACACACCTGCAGGTCCTGGGCATTGGGTGAATGCTTTTTTAATTGAATTATACATTATTATTTTTTTTTTATATGCTGAAATTGGGAAAAATATCACTGTTTTTGTTTTCTTTTAAAATCAGACCAAACCATTGCAGAGAGAGAGTATTTTACTAAAGCGTGACTTGAATGGCACATTTTATAAACCAGCAGCTTATTGGGTATCCGTCGCTAACGCAACTATATACTTCTTTTAGTTCTTTTGATGAGCAATAAAGGTAGTACATGCATCAAATGTAATCTGTGAGGAATACAAGACAAGTACGGTATATGTGCAAAAGGTATCCACATAGGAATACAAAATAAGCATCAATTTTAACAATTCCGAATGCTGCATATTGACAATACCAACTGCTCGTACTATTTATTTTATAGATTCTTTATTGCTACTTAGAACCTACAGAATTACAGTTGATATAGCAGCATGGTGTGTTTTTTGTTTTGTAAGACAAACCAGGACTGTGAGCCCAAAACAAGATTAACATTCAAATAAAAAAACTTTAACTGTGTGTTTAGAGAGAGATATTAAGGTGCCTCTCTCCAAAACACCGAATATCTCCAATACCAGCGAGGCACCCGTGACATTTGAGATATAAACACGCATGTGCTAAAGGGCAGTGAGTCGTAGTTAATTCAGTCAGCCACTTCAGAGAAGCCCTGACCCATCATATTTGACTTTCACTTGGCAGCGTGGTTATTTTACCTTCAATTTTGCATCCCGTTTTTACCGCCTCATAATTCACTACTTAGTGAATGAAAATCTTAAGTGAAAATCCAAGGTAAATTTGAAGTGAAGTTCAAATGTAAGGCCAGAATAGCGACTTGGAAAGCATAGTAGACTGAACAAATTATTCCATTTTGGTTATTTTGGCCTTATAGGAACACAATAGGCACTCAGACTACTTGAGCTCATTGAAGTGGTCTGCAATAATTATCTTTGAGGGCTAACTACACCTTGTGTGGCTGTCTACCAGGCAGCCACTAGAGCAGGGGTTCTCAACGTTAGTCCTCAGGACCCCCTACCAGTCCAGGGTCTAAGGTGTTTTTTTTCCCTTTTTCTAAACACCTGAGACACACCCAGGTAATCCCCAAATCTTGGACTGGTCCTGAGGACTGGGTTGAGAACCCCTGCACTAGAGGGACTTCCGGGTCATTAGGTGACTTTTGGTTGCCTTACTGATGCTGGACATCCACCATCACCCAACTCCAATGGTTTCCTATGGGGTAAGTCTTAATGCAAGTGCAGCAATTAGGGCACATGCATTAGGTCTCCTGCTGGCTGATGTAGGTGAGGGAAGAACAGAGCCTGAACCAGCACCAAGGGACATTGGGGCTGGAAACGAATAAGGGACAGGAGGAGTTTTGCGGGGCACAACTTTGTTTTCATGGCACTATAGTTTCCCTTTTAAGTTTTCATTTCACTTTAATTTCACCCTAATTTCTTACTTTAGTGAATAACACTGTATGTTTTAGTTGAAAACCAGTGCTAGAGTTGAAGATATGTATAGTTGCTTAATTTATTCGCTTCAGATTAAACCAATGCGAATGTTTTCCAAAACCTGTTCATGGGACAAGAGTAGACCATGTCATGTAAATTCAGTTAATACCAACAGAGTCACTTTAAAAAGAATATTTTATTGCACTTATGGCATTTCTATTTAGATCTGCAAGTGTGCGCATGACTGTCTGAGTTATCAGGGGGCAGCAGAGTTGCCCTAAACATAGAAGGGAAGCAGTGGTAGATATGCATTGGCTAACATGATGGAACAATGAATTTTCACTTCCTGGCAAGTAAAAGATCTGCTTTAAAGAGACTCCAAGCACCATAACCATAGAAACACACTGTAGTGGTTATTGTGACTGGCACCCTTCCAGTTTCTTGCCTCTCCTGGAGGCTGACCACTAACATGGGGTCACCTTTCTCAAACTGTTCTTAAAGGTTTGAATAATTATAGTGGGGAGGTGCCAGGGCTCTCCTGACACCATAACCACTGTTGTGTGCTGTAGTGGTTTTGGTGCTTGGGGGTGTTCTTTTAATGTAAAAAAAAATTCAGCTGCAAGTTTAGTTTTTTATTTATACACTTGTTTGCTGACTTGCAGCTTTGTGTTCATAAGCGACACCAGTAATACTACTAAGGGCAAGTAGTGAGGTAAGGTCCTTGAAAACTATTTGTTCAACTTCATGTTATCGACTGCTTTAAAGAGAAGGAACCCATAACCAGTGTGACTTTTTGTAGTGGTTATAGGGCTTGTATCAGTTTCTGAAAACTTTAAAGGGACACCATAGTCACCAGAACAACACCAGCTTATTGTATTTGTTCTGGTAAGAAAAATCATTCCCTTCAGGCATTTTGCAATAAACAATGTCTTTTCAGAGAAAATGCAATATTTACATTACAGCCTAGTGATCACTCCACTGGCCACTTCTCAGATGGCTACTAGAGGTACTTCTTGGGGCAGTGCAACACTGAAATTCAGTGTCTCCTCCCTCTGCATGGAGACACTGAACTTTCCTCATAGAGATGCATTGATTCAATGAATCTCTGAGGAGATGTTGATTGGCCAGGGCTGTTTGACTCTGCCCCTGATCTGCCTCCTTAACAGTATCAGCCAATCCTATGGGGAAGCATTGTGACTGGCTCGGAAAAACACTTATTCTCAGAAATACACGTTTGTGTTCCTTTAAATTCACAGTTTTTCTATATATAGAAAGTCCCTGCTCCTGGACAGCTTGGCATGTTTATGCTTGCAGCGTGGCTCCTGCAAGTAAAGGAGTATGCCTTAAAAAGTCTTTAAATCTGCACATTAGGCTAGTGTCCACCCATTCTTTAACTTAATGCATTGTACAGATGTCTTAAAATACAACCAGTCCAAAATATTAGTACTTTAATTGGCTTTCTGAGACTAGAAATGTACTACCCATGAGAGAAACTGAACTTCAGCTCCCAGAAATGTTTGCTGTGTTTCCTGATTACCTATAGAACGGTGTTATTGGACATTGTAGGTTAGTAAGGAAGGATGAAAAGGGAGCTGTACACATACAGTATCAGCAAGAGGGGGGGAATCATTTAGAAGGGCAGTCAGAGTAGTGGAGATAGGGTTATGATACAGAACACTGGGAAACATGTCTATTTTTGCAAAAACAAATTACATTTGAGTGTACACAATGTAATGCCTGGAGTGCACTTTTTATCTAGCATCTCATAAAATGCAAGTGACTACTGCCTATCCTATGACTTTGGCCTGTGTTTTGGCATTCATGGTTTTTTATGTAAAGGTTTAGGTTCTTTCATGTTGCAAACAGCTTATAGCTATGTAGTAGCTAATTAGTTGTGACACATGAGAAAATTAGTTGGCGTTCATAATGAAACTTTTAAAGGATCACTATAGGGTCAGGAACACAAACATGTATTCCTGACCCTATAGTGTTAAAACCACCATCTAGCTCCCCTGGCCCCCTCATGCCTCCATAAATATAGTAAAAATCTTACTGTATTCAAGCCTGAAGCTGTAACTCTGCATGCTGTTAGACTCAGAAAAAAACGTCTGCTGACATAATCAGAAGTGGTAGCCTGATCCAATCACAATGCTTCCCCATAGGATTGGCTGAGAATGAGAAGGAGGCAGATAAGGGGCAGAGCCAGCATGATTCAAACACAGCCCTGGCCAATCAGCATCTCCTCATAAAGATGAATTGAATCAATGAATCTCTGTAAGGAAGGTTCAGTGTCTGCATGCAGAAGGAGATACTGAATGTTTGGATGCATTTTAGGCAGCCATGACCCAGGAAGGATCTCTAGCAGCCATCTGAGGAGTGGCCAGTGAAGTTATCACTAGGCTGTAATGTAAACACTGCATTTTCTCTGAAAATACAGTTTTTACAGCAAAAGGCCTGAAGGGAATGATTCTACTCACCAGAACAAATTCAATAAGCTGTAGTTGTTCTGGTGACTAGTGTCTCTTTAAAGGGACACTCCAGGCACCCAGACTACTTCTGCCCATTGGAGTGGTCTAGGTGCCAACTCCCACTACCCTTAACCCTGCAACTGTAAATATTGCAGTTTTCATAAACTGCAATAATTACATTGCAGGGTTAACTCCACCTCTAATGGCTGTCTACTAGACAGCCACTAGAGGGTACTTCCTGGTCTATAGCACAGGTTTTCTGTACTATAGCGTCGCTGGACGTCCTTACGCTATGTGAGGACCTCCGGCGCCGCTAAAATTCCCATAGGAAAGCATTGAAAGTATTTTCAATGCTTTCCTATGGGGAGGTCTAATGCGCGCGCGTGCATGCACATTAGGTCTCATCCCGGCCCTAAACCACCGCTGAGGGTTATCGGCGGTGGTCTCAGGTAAGTCACTGAAGGGGTGTTCACCCCTTCAGCAACATGGGATGGGGGGTGGGAGGGATAGGGGACCTGCAGTGCCAGGAAAACTATTTGTTTTCCTGGCACCGGAGTGTCCCTTTTATCTGTTTTTGAAAGATGAGGACATACCTGAGAGGAAAAAAATATTAACTATGACTCAGTCATGCTGTTTTGCTATATTAGAGGTTTGTGTACTTTGGCTTGCAACTGACAAAAAAGTTTAAATATTTGATCACGTTTGCTAGAAAAAAGTGGTTATTAGAGAGTGCAGAGCAATTGCTTTTCAGTGGTAATATATCTTTCATGAACTCTACTCAAGACACCTTTTATTTGTACTGATAATATGCTGTTTTAAAATGCACATACGTGAACTGATCGCCTATCATCTCTGGTTTAACAAAAAAATTAAGAAAGATAAAGGATCTCTCATAAAAGCCCAAAGACCCAAGATAGCATGTATCCCTTTTAAATTCATTCAAGAAAATTGCATTTGAGCTATCAAATTGAGCCACAGCGATTCTCTCACTGGATCATTGTGATTGGAAGACCCCCAGGGTCTCCCCCCATGCTCCAATGGCAGATCAGTGCTGGCTTTTTTCAGTTGCCCAGCACTGATTTCAAGCATCTAAGCATAATTTAAGGAATCTGACCACAGTGGCACATATATTTTAAAAATGCCCTGTTAAAATGTAATGTGTATGTAGGTATGCAACAAAAAATATATATTTACCACGCACTTTGACATAAACTGGTATAAAAAGAATGGCAACATATTAATGCACACTATACACCAAATGAGATACACAGAAGTGTCCACTTTTGCAGTTGGTAGGACTTTGAGCGGTTTAACCTCTTAAGGACCAAACTTCTGAAATAAAAGGGAATCATGACATGTCACACATGTCATGTGTCCTTAAGGGGTTAAACAATCAGACTACTATTATGACCCAAAATTAGCCATTTGCCCATCAAATAAGTCCTAAAAATTTGAACTGTAAAAACTGAAATGGTCAGGTCTCTTTAACAGGATAGTGGCAAAGGCATATTAGTGGTATAGTTGTTACCAGAAGATGTAGCTGAACAAATTATGGGGTTTTGCACAGTGGTAGCACACATCAGGTTTGCAACATACATATTCAAAAAATCATTTTATATGTGTGCTAAAAATCGGAGGAAAAAAAAAAACCTAACTTGTACTCCAATAATTAGCAGATATTGACCGTTAAATGGTTACATAATAAGAGTCAAATTACCCTTGGGTTAATAGCCAATGGTGTCTACTTTGTGTGGTAACTTTTTTTTTTTTTTCACTGTTAAAGGGACACTGTAGTCACTATAACCACGTTGTCTCTTTGAATTGGTTATAGTGCCTGGAGTGCCCTGGCACTGTCCCTCCATTCAGTGTTGCACCATGTTTGTGCAGTATGCCACAAAATAAGAGTCCCTGGCCACCCACAGTCCGGCCCCTTCTGTATGTGTAGCTAAGGCAGAGATTACACACTTTCTTGTTGTCATACCCATTCATACCGTCAGTTGGAGCTCTGACAGGTTAAAAGCAGTCAGCTGACACTCTCAGCCAATCACAGCTGCCCATTGATGCTCAGGGTAATACTTCCTTATTAGCCAAAGCAGCACAGAGGGGATGGACTGCCGTGGTCTCTTGTTTAGCATTAAAACATTACAACATTAAAAACTGTTCAATACTGAAAGAAATGATGGCACCAGGGGACTCCATACACTATAACCAGTTTAATGAGATGAAGCAGATACGGTGCCCCTTTAATCTTGCAAGACAAACCTCAAATTCTAAAATCACTCCACATTAAAATTATTTTGTGACCTGTAATTACCAAAAATAAACTGAAATCCTAGACTTATGTACTCTGTAAGTCAGGACAATCAATTAACGTTGAATTACTTTTCATAAGCTGTACACACATTATTATTGGCAAAACCATGAAGAAAAAAAATATTTTTTTGTGTGTAAATTTCTTCTGTATTTTAAATAAGAAGTTATAAATGTTGATATTTCTTTTGAGGCATCAAAAAGAACATTACAGAATAAAGATAAGCGAGTCAGACTAGATACACGTCATATATGCAATAACAATGCAATATACAATAAACTTTAGCGTACTTCAGCCTCATTTAAAAAAAAAAAATTTTTAAAAAATGGAGAAACCGATCTGTCTAGACAGGACTAATAGTAGTTTCTGAGCAGTAGAAAGGGCTAACTAAACAAGATTACTACTGCGGAAAAGTATAGCACATGTTAAAGGGACACTGTGGGCACCCAGACCACTTCAGCTCATTGAAGTTTTCTGGGTGCAAACTCCCATCACCCTTAACCCTGAGCATGTAATTATTGGAGCAGTGGGGTGGAGCTGAGCCAGTGCTGGAACCTGATAAGTGAAGGGGGAGGGTCTTGACAGAGGGGGAAGCTTTAGTGCCAGACTATAGTTTCCCTTTAAATTATGTCACAATAGGGATCAGCTCTGTCCGAAATTAATACACTGGTTCCATCATAACTGAAACTAAAACGATAAATCTTTGTAAAAGGCGTAAGGCATAAGAAAATACAACTAAAGCACTGTTATGTGCAAAAATGAGTAATGTGGGTATCCTTAAGATATATGAACGAAAAATTAGGCAGTATGTGTGAGGGGGTCTGAATTGCTGACACCCTTGTTGGGAGATGCAGGATAGAAGCTACTGGTTCGCTAGTGTTAACAACATGGTAGAGAGGCCAGGCAGCCCCAGGCCTGCCTGGAGGCCCACATCATTAAGTCACAGACCTGGATACATAGAAGGTCCAAGTCCTTTCCAGAAGGGATACAGCTGAGGATCGATGTGTTTGGATGTCACTGTCGGCGCTTCCTCTGCCAGCATGTCTATGCGATGGGGAGAAGCCCCTAGTGGCCTTCATCCCAGACGAATACATGTGGAGGGTAGCAACTGCTTGTTGTCAAGTTGTTTCTTTGGGAGGTTCATTGCTGCTCGTTTCTTGGACTCCCCTCTCTGAGTTTTAGCTGGGAACACGCTGTTCATGCCTCTAGTTTAGCCCAGAAGATTTGGAAGATTGCTTTCAGTTTCTGTAGAGATCGTTCAAAGGGGTCCATATGAACCTGAGGGATTGGTGTCAGAGTGCATCATCAAATTCAGGAGATCGCCTGCCATGTTGGGATCAAGATTTTAAGCCGACATGTAATGTAAGCGGTCAATGGAGATTGGGTATGCAAGACCAGATTGCATAGGCCCCAAATCAGAAGTTAAGAGCTCAGCCTTGTTGAGGTGAGTTTATGCTATATCTTGACAGGCACAGCTGCAGAAACAATGGTGGTACAGACTGCATGCATGTGGGGTGTGGGTATAACCCCAGTTTGTGAGGTAAGTCTCTAGAGGGAAAGTGTCTCACTGGATAGATCGGCCAGTTCTTTTGCCGAGCGTCGCCATCCAGTCTCGACGAAACCTCAGTTTCACAAAAAGTAGTCTGACTGATCAACTCAAGGCACCTCTACCGGCCATTGGAACCAGTGAGTCTCGGAAAGGATGTTGGGCAGAAAATCCGCATAGAATAGAGATCGTGCTCTGAGCACTTACACAGCACATCCAGCTGCCTTGAGGCACAGCCCCCAGAAGTTATATGTATATGTCAAATCAAATTAAAGCGCTTTCTGTTCTTTAACAAACAATATATAATATGTATGGGGCACTTGAAGAGAAACTCTTAAATTATGGTGGAACAAACCTATAGCTCAAATTCAAGGTTTGTTTTGGTTCAGAATGGTTAGTTACCTCTGTTCTTAAAGGAACACTATAGTCACCTAAATTACTTTAGCTAAATGAAGCGGTTTTAGTGTATAGATCATTCCCCTGCAATTTCACTGCTCAATTCACTGTCATTTAAGAGTTAAATCACTTTCTGTTTATGCAGCCCTAGCCACACCTCCCCTGGCTATGATTGACAGAGCCTGCATGAAAAAAAATCTGGTTTCACTTTCAAACAGATGTAATTTACCTTAAATAATTGTATCTCAATCTCTAAATTGAACTTTAATCACATACAGGAGGCTCTTGCAGGGTCTAGCAAGCTATTAACATAGCAGGGGATAAGAACATCTTAATTAAACAGAACTTGCAATAAAGAAAGCCTAAATAGGGCTCTCTTTACAGGAAGTGTTTATGGAAGGCTGTGCAAGTCACATGCAGGGAAGGTGTGACTAGGGTTCATAAACAAAGGGATTTAACTCCTAAATGGCAGAGGATTGAGCAGTGAGGCTGCAGGGGCATGTTCTATACGACAAAACTGCTTCATTAAACTAAAGTTGTTCAGGTGACTATAGTGTCCCTTTAAGGTTTGAGTTTGGAGGTAATTTGAACACAGTAGATTCTTATGTCCCTCAGATCACACATTCTCACTGAGTGTTTGTTTTTTACAGGGGGGTGGAAAAATTGTCACCCTTATAGTGTGAGGTATTTTATTTAACATCTGTTAAAGTTCTGCAGACCTTTTATTTCTTTACAATTGCATTGTCATATTTCTATGTAGAACACAAAGCCTACCAGAGTTGGTGAAGCTAATCCACACTATTTTAAATGAAGGGACCCTGTACATCGGGGGATCTTCACATTTTTATGACTGCAGTCCCCTAATGGTTTATCCAGTCTGTCGCCATATAACCTCGACCAGACTGTCAAAATCGGATTGTTTAATGTACATGTACATTATCCCTACTATTGGCATTTTTAATACCAGAAAATAGCAAGATGTAGTCATTTGAACTTGTGTGCAATATTACCACACAAAGTGACTTGTGGCCAGCAATCCAGATTTCTCAGAAATCTTAGTTCTCTAATTTGGTCATGTAACTTTTTTTATAATCCTGCAAAAAGAAATGTACTTGAGTTACATTTGGTGTGCAAAACTTTAGTAGGATGCATCAGGCTTATAGAATACCTGTGAAAAGTATGTAAGGCAAGGAGCGACAAATATATAGACCCAAACAAGTTTACGTTAATTAAATGCTATTGTTCTGCAATGGCTGGTACAAAGACCATTCAGGCTTTTAGTTTTGGTTTGTATTGGATTTTATTTCTCTCTTTCTGCTATTGTTAGGTGTGTACACTGTACTGTGATCTTTTGTGGTTTTTTTTTTCTTTTTCTTTTCTTTTTCATATAATGGTTTGGCTTTGATTTAAAGACCTTTTTAAACTGTGAATTTTCCCAATTTCATTTATATCAAGGTGTTTATTAGTTATATTGGATCCATACACTGTCAATCTCTGCATGAATCATTGTAATCCACACGATTTTGGAGGAGTGCTGTTTCACAGAGTGTGTGGGTGTCTGCTTTTTTCCAGTCTTTTGATAAACTGGCAAATTCTTTCCCTTTTTTTGTCCATTACTGTATTGCTGCAGGTACTTTTTTTAAAATAATTTAACTATACTCCTGATTCTGAGCATATATAAAGGCACATGTTAATCATATACCCCCTGCAATATTATTGTAGTGTTTTAATGCAAAGAGGCTGTTGGTGCAGTCCCTTCAGTTTTGTCAATCGTGCTTGAAAATAAAGCACTTTCATATCTTCGTTATCTAAACAATGTTTATTCAGGTAGTAGGATTTAGCTGTGTTAACACATACAGATATTTTGGCTGGATAATGAGATTACATGACACAGGAATCTGCTACAATTCGATATCACCAAAGCAATTAACAGTTTTTTGATGCAGTCAAGCCTTTTTTACTATTCATACTGGTGGTAGAGAAGGTTGGCTTTGGTTGCTGCAACCATTTATTTCCTTCCACAATCTCTTGAAAATGGCTTGGTTGAAGTATGTGGTTGCACCTATAGTCTCCTTGCAAAATAACCATCACAATAAGGTGTGAGGGATACGGTGATTGGAGTGTCCCTTTTAATTGTTACTGCCAACCAACTCTTTTCAGCATAACAGTGCATTCTGCAAGTCTCTGTGAAACTGTATTCCTAAATATCTAAAATATAAGGGGTGGGAATACTGTTGCTCATTTATGTTTTATGCATAAAGTCTGAATAAAAATGTTCTTATTGATGCTGTTGAAAAAATGCTGGCAGAAGCTGTTTTTTATACAAACTGAACAATCTGGCCCCCTTGTTTTATTTATAAAGGTTCAATGTATCTATGCCTGCCTACTGCAATCCGCAAGGGAGTAACAGAAAGGCCCCGCATTCGCCGAGCCGTGAGTTATAACAAACTTTTCAGATGTGTTAATGAATGTGGACATACGCAGTTGTTTAACAAAAAAATTAAATAAATTGCAGCTGCTGGCCTAAGCAGAGCCAAATCAGTTGGGTACTGAATGGCTCTAAACAGTGTAACTAGGGACAGGCGTACTTGCTAAACACATCCACCAAATAAAGAAATCCTCTGGTATTCCAAAGAACATAGAAAGTTCAACCCTGGATGCTTAGTCTTCAGATTGGGTTTGTATGCCTAATCATGGACTAGATATTATCTGTATTCCTTAATAACCATATGCCTGTGTTTGTGTGTGTGTAGTATAACATTCCTAAATTTTCTTTCTTTTTTATTTTTTTACCCCAATCTTATTTGCATGCCACTTCAGAGCAAATGGATTAGATCCTCCCTCCTCCCCCCCCTCCCGTAATAAAGTTGCATGACCTTTTTATGCTGTTTGAGATATATTTATTTGTATTTCTAAAACTATATTCACCATCTAATGTAGGAAGTGCTTTTAATCCTCGGACATTAAAAAGCTTTAAATATTTTATCACCTGCTTTTTCTCTTTCTTGTGCTATATTGTGGCATTACCAAACCTAATCTCTTTTTCCTGTATCACTTTGTAATACAGGACAATATAGCCTTATTTTTCTCACATATGGTGGCAGTACGTATGGGTTGTGCTTCCTAATTGGGACAAGCTTCTGCATGATAGGTAATTAAGAAATGTCCCTCCCCTTTACCCTATAAAGGGCTTCCCCCGGCAAACTCACCTCAGTTCTTCCTTGTCTCAGCATGGGTCGGATCAAGCGGCTGTTGAAGGTGAGGCACACAGGTTGCTGATAGCCGCCCTGGTGGTAGGCTGAGCGGCATGGCTCTATCCGTGGAGGTTTCAGAGCCCTTTCTGTTTAAATTTGCGCCGAGTATGTTCCGGCTTGGTGAGTATGGGCGCGCCGGGGGACAGCTTCATTATGTTGAAGGCTGTGCGTGTGCGCACAGCGGTGGAATGCACGCCCGGGTGGTGTTGCATTCCACCGAAGTTCCGGGTGTGCTATTGCGCATGCGCAAACCGGAACTTCAGGGAAACTGCCCGGTGCGGATCGCTGTGCTATTCCCTCTGGCAGCAGGAAGCTTGTCAGAAGGGTTCCCCGTGTCACCAACCCCCCACACGGCTCAGAGGTTTTCAAGGTAAGATTAGCTGATCTTTGCGTTGCAAATCTGTTCTGATTAAAATTGCAAGTTATGGATAGAATTGTTTTGCAGAAATTATACTGTAATTGCAAAATGGACTGTTTGTACAACTTGGAATGCCTCTGCTATACAAGGCTTTTGCTTATTGTATCTGTGCTGCTCCCCTTAATATGGTTCTGGGGTTTATAAATATGACCAAGGTGCTGAAATTTCTTGGGTAAAATTAAGCAGAGAATATGCAATCATACCCATCTTTGTTTGAATTCTTGTAGAGAATCAAATAGTGTTTTAGCTGCTCTGCCTGAGATGTTCCTCAGAGACAGAAGAGAAGCATCCTTCAATTGCTTCTAATGTCTGGCAAATGATTACCTCTTCTTAAGACGTGTCTGGTTCATCATACTGTGTGGAGTTGGTTCCCACATTATGTACTGAGAAGGTTCATTAGTAATGAATCGGTCATGGGGCAGGATAAATCTGCTAAACTTTATCTTATCTGTTCCTCAAACCCCATGTCCTTCTTATATGCAGAAATGGGAGCACTCTGTGTAACAAGCCTTTCTTGCCCGACGTTTAATATGTTTACCATCAAATGGGTAAATATTGCACCCACAGGTATACTGGGAAATCATAAAATTCTGCATAAGTAGCTGCTTTAATAACCCTGTCGTCAAGAAGGCTGAGACCTCTTGCAGACGATCTTTTCAGACTGCTAGTTTTCGGCATAGGTCTTTGGCAGGTGCAGAGGTGTCCAAAACTTATAACTTTGTTTACAATCATTAATGGAAGTTATTTAAGTCTCCTGCTGAGCTTGGAGGCGTAATCCTGTTATTCTTTACCAAGTGTGGATAGCTCAGTGGGTTTAGACCTTGTTCAACCCTTGGGGGTTCACAGGTTCATTTGCCCTGCAGGGTTTACTTCCCCTGCCATTCAGTGGAGTCACTTAACATACCCAGGATGCATTTGGGAACCAGTATATATCTGAATGTCTCTTGCCTGACTTTTAAGTAGAATCTACTTGCAATCACTCGTTACCTGATCTAGTTAAAGAGGGCACTGCTTGCTCTATTCAAATCTGCCCAATGCATAATCTTCAGAACATCTGATACTCTATTTACAGAAACAGTGTTCCTGTTTGATTCAAGGAGTTTGAGATATGGTTCTGTGAACCACCAAGTTCATTGGGTTGTCAAACTCTGATCATTCCTTTAAACCAGTTATGAATTTAAATTATTGGTTTCTCTCCTGAGGTTCAGAATCGACGCTTCTGTAACTCTGATTCTGCAGAAAGAAATTTCATGGTGTATATAGATCAGAGATATAGTATCACATATCCTATTGCGGCCCCTCAAGATGTTTTCTGAAAATACGCCATAAGTGGATTGAAGAGATTTCATTGCTCTTCTAAACACTCCCATAAAAGCATATTTTAGGGAACGAGGCATTCCCTACTTGGGAGTTTGACTACTTATTGCTAATCGGGACAGTTGACATTTAAGTATGTTCAGGTAGTTAGCAGAGTGCTACAGCAACGCGGTTGGATACAGAGACTATAATGTATTTTCTTCTTCTCCAGGAAACAGTTTTTTCCCTTTTGGAGGTTCGTGTTAACCTTAAAACGTTACCTTTGCATCTACTGCACTCATGAAGGAAAGGTCCAATTCCTAATAAAGCGAAAAATCCTCGGTAAGAACAGGAAATGAGATTGCTGGGATGTCTGACTTCTTCAATTCCTGCAGTCAACTGAGCAAAATTTGGATTTGGCCACTACAGTGGAAAATTCTCATATCTTGGTCAAAGTGTGGACATCTTGGATTTCTGTCTCCTTGGCTCTCTTAGAAAAAAGCTGAATATCGGCTAAACTGGTGGACAACGTCAAGTTTTTCCTGACAAGTCTGTCCTTTCAGCCTATAGAAGGAGTAATTTACCCCTCAGAATGCATCTCTCACAGGCTGGGTCACTTGTACCAATTCTGTGTGTTAGCGTTTTTGGTCCTAAGAAAAATAGTCCACTAATTTCAGAGCTCTTAAGGTAGTTCTTCACTCCCCTCACCGTTTCAGACCTTGGTTGATTTGAGGGACCTATTACAGTGCGGTCAGACCACAACACGGTTTCCCTCATGTCAGCAGACAGGGTGGTGCCAGAGGCAAGGTCTGTTTAAGCTATGTACTAAAATGGTTTACTGAGCTCAGGATCTCTGGGAGGTGTTCTCTCCATTCCACTCATGATGTGTTGACAATGTCATCATCTACAACCTCAGCACAAGAAATTGGGATCAAGAGTAATGGTCTATAGATCAGATCATGTTCACAGTCTAAAGAGAGATTTGGAGTGTCTGGATAGACCTTATGGCAAAGAGGGAGAACATGAAGATTCTCAGGTTAGCCTCTCTATACAGGACAGATGGTTCACGTTGAATAGTTGTGCTATCTATCTAAGGGTATTTCTTCAGGCTTCCATTTTTTTCTCCTATAGACTGTTCCCAAGACGTCTTCAAAAAAACGGACAGAGCAGTGGTTCTGCCAGTCTTTCCATACTGGCTAAACACAAGCTAGTTTTCGGCCTTGGTGGAGATGGCTTTCAAGTTTGGGGATATTTCAATCTCGAAAACACTTTTGGAAGACAGGATATCCTGCTGAAAGTGTTGAATAGGTTCTTAATTGCATGGTGGGTCTCTTGAGTCTTCATGAGTCAGAGCCCACTTGTTGAGTATAATCTTTTAGTCGTTCCGCCTCTAACTTTTACATGTGGATTTGGGTAGAGTTTCTTCATTGTTGTAAGGAACGTCTTTGTCTTAGTTCATTTGTCCGGTTGGTTCAAATTTACACATTTGCAGGAGATTTCCACAGGTTGGGCATTTCCACGTTAAGACCCAATTGTATTCCCAGAGTTCTTTCTGAGAAGGGATTGGTCTTCGTATATGCTGGTTAGAAGTTTCTTTACAGCAATGGGCTTCTTAGGCCACCCAGGAAGCTCCTGTTTCCCTCCTGGGATCTTTCTTCAGTCTGTCAGGCCCCCTTTTACTTTGGAGGTGGTTCCTTTTAATATGCTAAAGCTTAATTAGCATTCTTAGTGGCCATTACCTCTACCAAGAGAGTAAGTGAGCTTCAGGATATATCTTCCTCAGTGGAATTTCTTATATTCAATCAGGGTGAAAGTTGTTTCATTATGCCACCTCCCCGCTGGAACTAGATGGTATATTCTAGAGTTCAAAAAAAGGGCTTTTCAGATGTACCTATCAATATCAGATCACCTGTTGTCAGCTTCTAGGAGAGTTTAAGGGGAATCAAGCCTCTCATAATTCTATTTCTTGTTTTTTCGTCAATCATAATGGCCTATGCTTCAGTAGTTTTTTTATTCGCCAGCCTACTTCGTGGGCAGAGAAAGCTCTTGCTTCACCCGAAGTAACCAGTATGGCTGCTTCTTTGTCCGCTTTTAGCACTTTAAAAATTGTCAGGCATTTTCAGGCAAGATGTACTGAGTCTAAAATTGCGCTTGGGCGTAGGTACTTCAAGCTGTTTAGGCATAAAGCCCACCCGCTTGGGGATCTTGCTATATCCGATGCGTACCGCCACCATATGTCAGAAAAACCCCCCAAAGGTTTACTCCCTGTAAATTTTTTTCTTAAAATGGTGGCAGTACAAATCTCACTCCCCAACCCCCCACCCCCCTCCCCCCTCTAAATTACAATTTTGCTTTGTGTGTGGCTTAGATGTGTATTCTTGCTACGACTGAGGTGGGTTTGCCTAAATGTTCCAATTAGGAAACACAACCCATACGTACTGTCACCATATTAGGAAAAAAGAATTTACGGTGAGTAATTTCTGTTTTTGGGTTTTGTTTTTTTTTTGGTTTTTTTTTTAATGCAGTTAACACCTATTCTAATGACTTGCGGATATTGTTCAGGTAGCCGTGCGTGATTACTAAAGAAATATATAGCATGCTTTATTTTATTTAGTACTATTTCTGGCTCTTCCCCTCAATCTGCTAGTACTGCACAAAATTCCCCATCTTTAAAGGATTAGTGATAGTAGACATGCATTTGAATAGTTTGTGAAATGCAGCACTTGGTAATAAGAGAAGAGTCCTCTTTTGTTAATAAACCACTGGCATCCAGTAAGAAGGTAAACACGACTATACTGTGCAGGTTTCACTTCTACATGTTCATCATTGTTGTATCATGTGGTATATTTTAATGTACCCGTAGTGATATTTTCAAAAGGAAATGGAAATTGCATACACCGCAAAACCAAATCTCAGGTTGTGTGCTCGACCTTGGTTTATTTTTATTTTTTTTAAACTTTATTTTTAAGCCCCACACACAATCTGCCTCCCCACGCTGAATAGTAAAAATGTATGAATACTGCTGATCAGAATAACCTTGTTGTAAAGCGGTTAGTGCCTTTCAGGCATTGGTGTTTATTAAATATTTGGCAGCTTAACCGCACAATGCATTGCCTACTTTTTACTAATAAGCATGACCCTCCCAAATTATGTTAACTTTAAAGGCAATTTTTTTATGTTTTACGTGGAGTAAGACCAGTGTATCTTATAATAAGGTGGAAACTGAATTTGATTACATGGAAGCAAATATTGGTAAAATTTGATGGGTCTAAAGTACATTTTCCACATTATTATTGTTTTCGCCATGCATGGTGTTTTTTCAGAGTGCTCCCCCAATCATAAAAATGAAATTTCAGTCAGGATGGAATTGAGATCATCTTAATAGGCTTAGCATAGAGTGGTGCAAATAACTGCCATTATCCATGTGGATAATTAGCCTCTTGGATCTTGTCCTTCTGCTTTTCAATTACCTGCATCAAAGGACGTAGAAAAACTAAAATATAGAAAACACTGTCTGGGCTCCAGCTGATCGCATCATGAAAAGTTTTGGCAATCTGCAGATTCATTGTTGGTAATTTGTTGCATACTAAGCAAAGTCTTGACTAGTGTAAGTACATTTCAGGTTTGTATATATAATTATTCTTCAATGATTTTTCAATGTTCTGCTTTAGCATTCAGTGTTGAGGAAACCCCTTTTGGCACATTACAAAGCAGATGTGTCTTAAATCATCATTGTGTTTGAACATTTTCGAATTGTCCCATAGTTTGTAGAATTAACATGCAATGTTATAGTTTGAAAACTTGCTTATTTTTATAATAGTGATTTTGTGAATTTCATAAAAGATGGTCTAAGCTATTGGTATTGAGGGTAATTTTAGTGTTTTCACATCATTCTCAATTTACATTGGACATCAATGTAAATTGTGATGACCCTTATAATAAATTAAAGATAAAGTTTCAACTTAGTGGGCTGAAAAGTGGCTCTAATGTATCTGTTATGAGTACACTAAATTAAGCTCTAGTGAAAGATCACACTCATCAAATATGCCTGCAAAAGTGCTACTAAATGTATAGTTTTAAAAATATATATTTATTTAAAGGGTCAGTCTAAGAACTACAGCAACTACAGACTGCTGTAGTAGTTCTGGTGCTGTGTGTCCTCTAGCCCCATCCCATGGTACGGAGCTAAATTACTTCTAATGGTTTGACACTTAGCTGGTATGTACCTCTTCTCTTACATGGCTCAAGTGTCAGGGGGTTTCACATTGTAATGGGGGCGACTGGGACCCAGCACTCACCATCTTCTTTTTCTGGCAGCTCTTCTCTCCCAACTCTCGCAAGCCCCTGGCCGTCAAAGTGTTGCTGTGGGTTATCAGGACAACGCTCTGCGCAGCACTGCAGGCTCATGAGAGTTGGAGAGAAGAACCACCGGAAACAGAGATAGCAAGTGCTGTGTCCCAGCCGCCCCCTCTACAATGTAAAATCTCCTGGCAGCCTGCACAAAGCCACTGGACCACCACAGAGGGAGTGTATTGTAAAAGGCAGAGAGGGGGGAAGAATAGCGGCACTTACAAATGAATAGCAGTCGGTGCCTACCTGGAACCATAACCACTAGAAGTGTACTGTATTGGTTACAGTGCTCAGTGCCCCTTTAAACATTGTTATCCCTTACTTATTTCATTCTCTCTATCCAGAGCAGAAGGCATAAATTTCTATGACGAGTTGAGGTATAGGTTAAAGGAGAGCCTTTCTATGACAGGTTTTCCAATTTTGTCCACAGTTACAGTTAACAGTATGCTTTGTAGTTGCTCGAATTATTCCTCTAGCGAGAGTGTCACACTTTGCCAGACTATAAGAATGCCATAACAGACGGAAATGCACTGGCACTTAAGTGGCGGGAAAGGTTCATCCTGCTCAGTAAAATGTTCTCAAGCTCGAACAATTGCATAGCTCAGCAGAGATGTGGTGTTTATTAGTGTAACACTCTGCACCCTTCATGATTAAGGTAGTTTCTACGTGGGACAACAGATGAATAGTTGCTTAATAACTGACAAAGCAAGAAATATATATTATAATTTAGGTCTATGGTCTATTCATTGCTTAAGGGGACATTAGCAGTTCAACTGAGCCTGTCATTACAGGTTAATTTTAATATAATGCTATTCAGAGTCTAACTTACTAAATCAAATCCTTTGTGGCATGGATATCATTAAGTGCAGAATTTTTTATTTTTTATTTTTTTTATTGCCTTCCTAAAATCGCATATTTTGTTGGTCTGCATATCTTAACAGAACTTTCAAATTAGATTAGTTTTTTTTTTTCTTCTATAAATGTTGGTTATTTTTTCCTTTGCTTATTGCTACAAATCTGCCGTCCCAGTAAGTGCAGAAGCAAATTTAAGATATTGTGTTTAAAATGGTAATGTAAGTTCTCAAGTTGTACATCCATTCAGTGTATGTGACTTGATTTTTTTTTTTTAATAGGAGCAACTTATACTTTCTGCAGTTTCCACAAAACTAGGCATATTACGAAGTTAGAATGTTAGTGAACCTCAAGGACATTAGCCAACATGATCTGATTTAATAACATCTTCCGCGATCTTCTCTTACAGGTGACACAACTCGCCAACGGATCAAGTTTAGTGATGATAGAGTGTGCAAAAGTCATCTGCTCAACTGCTGTCCTCATGATATTCTCTGTGGAACGGTATGTGCTATTTGCTATAGTTGTTCATGGTGGGTTCGACTGATTATCATTTTTACAGAGCTGATACAATTACCGATCATTGGTCGCGTTTACAGATTGACAATAACTGGTACCAATATTTTGTACCTTTAAGGCTTTGAAAAAGTAACACGATTTCTAGACCATTCTGGCATTAACTGAACATGCTGACAGCAATCTCATTCATACATCCATGCAGTGTGTGTAGATGCTGAACGTCGGTGCTACATGTTGTACAGCACCGACCCAGTAAGCAACCTTAGTGGCCGTCTGAGTGACTGCCACTGTAGGTGTCCCTAGGCAGACATGTAAACACTGCCTTTTCTCTGGAAAAAAAAAGTGTTTACATTAAAAAGACTACAGGAACATACTATACACACCAAAACCACATTAAGCTGTAGGTGTTCTGGTGACTATAGTGTCCTTTTAGATCTCCTGTCATCTAGCCTAGGAGTCACCTCTGCTACTTACAGGTCCAAGATTATGCTAGACAGGCTCAATTTAAACAAGCAGCTCTTCCAAATTCCACTTTTTTTATTTAAAGCTTTGTGCAAGCAGGTGCTGGTATTGTTGCTATACAGACACTCCTTTACCGACCGGGTTCCATTCCTACGAAATTTCCCCAAACATAGATTAGAGGGATTCCCTGCTCTTGTGCGTTCATCTATGTTCGGGGAAGTTTCCCCGAACATAGACGTGTGCACCAGAGCAGGGAATCCCCATGACGGCTCGCACTTGCTCCTTGTCATAAGTGCGACCCGTCGTAAAACTGGTAGGTCGCTAAATGAGGACCACCTGTGTACTGCTATTTTCTCTAATTCCTCACTTTAGAGAGAGTTAATTTGTTTCAAACTGTGGGAACAGGATTTGAAAGAGGTGTCTGATGGAGAAGGCTTGGGAAGATATGTGGCTAGTAAGGTCTCTAGCTGTCTGGGATTGAAAGAGCAAATCTTTGAGATCATCATGAGATGGCATATGACCACTAAAACTGTGTAAAATGGAAAAAACATTCCAGATTTCTGCTGGAGACACTATAGCAGAGGTCCTCAAACTCCGGCCCCCCAGATGTTGCTGAACTACAACTCCCATGATTCTTTCAATTACATAGATAACCAGAGAATCATGGGTGTTGTTCAGCAATATCTGGGGGGCCGGAGTTTGAGGACCCCTGCACGATAGCCCTTAAAGGGACGTGTAAAGATATGTTGTGGGATTGCCATCAGGTTAAACCCTTCTAGGAAGTTGTCAGAGGAATATTATCTTAAAGGAACACTATAGTCACCTAAATTACTTTAGCTAAATGAAGCAGTTTTAGTGTATAGATCATTCCCCTGCAATTTCACTGCTCAATTCACTGTCATTTAGGAGTTAAATCACTTTGTTCCTGTTTATGCAGCCCTAGTCACACCTCCCCTGGCTATAATTGACAGAGCCTGCCTGAAAAAAAAACTGGTTTAACTTTTAAACAGATGTAATTTACCTTAAATAATTGTATCTCAATCTCTAAATTGAACTTTAATCACATACAGGAGGCTCTTGCCGGGTCTAGCAAGCTATTAACATAGCAGGGGATAACAAAATCTTAATTAAACAGAACTTGCAATAAAGAAAGCCTAAATAGGGCTCTCTTTACAGGAAGTGTTTATGGAAGGCTGTGCAAGTCACATGCAGGGAGGTGTGACTAGGGTTCATAAACAAAGGGATTTAACTCCTAAATGGCAAAGGATTGAGCAGTGAGGCTGCATGGGCATGTTCTATAAACCAAACCTGCTTCTTTAAGCTAAAGTTGTTCAGGTGACTCTAGTGTCCCTTTATTTATTTTTTTAATGGACTATTCAATATTAGACCCATGGGTTTCTCTCCTTTCCAAACCCATAGAAAATTTACCTGAACAATTAAAAAAATTACTTCGTAAAATTATGTTAACAACTTGGAGAGGCTTGCAGGCAGGGTTGCATAATACGCGATTTCCTTCAATAACTGATGTAAAACACAGAATAGTGAATATCCAATGGATAAATTCAATGTTATGGTCGTATCTTTATGATGATGTTCTCCAAATTTTTGGCACCATGGATGAATTTTTTTAGTATGATCAACCTGTTCCCTTTTGGCCTGTGTTTCTGGTCCCACAGTGGGTGCAAGTTTTTTTTTATAAATTTCGTTTTATTTTTTGAGATTTTACTATAATAAGCTAGGTGTCTTCTTTGACTTTGCTTCTCGAAATGTCTCATCTATGTGAATTGCCTGACATTTTTCATTTGTTTTTTTTCTTTCTTTTTTTTATGCTTCTTTATGGTTTTAGGTTGCTTTACCATTTACTATTTGCTAGTGACTCTAAAGTGCCTATTTTATTAGTGATGCATGAAATCTTTGGCCAAAAATAGGCCTATGCCGTTTCGACCGAAAACAGGTCAAATATATATAAAAATATATAATTTTTATTTTTTTGTGTGTGTGTGTAGTGCATAGTTTAACAGACTTCTTTGCATTAACAAATCAGATGATTATATGTCACAATGAAAGATAGTAATGATAACATGAAAAGTCAAGAATACTGCACTTGGGACAGGGGAGGGGGGGAAAGAACACTATGGGACGGGGGGGGAGAACACTAAAAAAGAGGGAGGGGAGAGAGGGACATTAAGCGGGGGAGGGGGGGAGAGGAACCACTAAAAGAGAAGGGGAGTTTTTCATATTGGATTAATTAAATTCCTTAAGTCTTACATTAATACAATTTTTGGTTTTTGGCCAAGGGCATCCTGAATTTTCAGTTTCGGACCAGAATTTTCAGTTTGGTTCATCCCTAATTTTTATTTATTTTTTATGGGGATCTACTGATTGGCTTAGCAACCTGGTCAGCAACCTATGGCACTTGAGGTGTCTTTGCATGGCCATGAAGGCTGCCAGAGTCAACCGAGCTGGCCTATCAGGAGTCCCAGTGGGATTTCAGATATTTGCTGGTGCAAACAGAATGGCATTGCAGCACTGGAAGAAGTAATCTGAGATCACTTCCTCCCAGCATCTATGAGCGGGAATCCGCACTGGAGGAGAGCTTCTACCCTTGACTTGTACCTGGCCAGCCCGATCCCCTCTGGACACCAGGGAAACACTGCTAGATATACATAGAGGTACAGAATAAGCCTCCCCCTCAGACAAATAATACAAACCACTCACACAATAATACACATCACCATTGACAACCAGCACACACACCACCAAACACACAATGTGACAGGTCACCTACACACACAATTCCACAAGCAGTCCACATTCATAGGTATATACAATACCGCAAACTGCTCATGAATATTTACAATATAACAGCCCAGATACACACAAATACAACACCACAAAGCGACCGACAAGAGCAACCAAAAAATAACAAAAGCACAATACAGCAGCATACACACCTCAATTTAAAAAAAACAAATGGGACTGGCACGCCAAGGGACATCAAGATCTTGTTTTGGAACAGTACGACTAAAAGGTTGCATTCCCCGCCATGTCACTTGCTATGTGGAAAAAGGTGGCTGAGTAACAAAGATAGGAAAATGATCTGGATGGGATACAAAACCTGAATAGATCTGTGGGGTTGTGGCATTAAAATGTAGAAATAACATTTGCTTCTAAAATGCAAACCACTATATTATTTTACAGCATTGTTTTGTATTTTATAATATATTTGTCAACTTCTCTGTCTTTTTAAAATGTTAAATGTTGCTACTTTCTGTTAAATTTTTTTGTTTTGTTTTTTTTCTCTTAGAGAATGGATCTGGGGGAATGTCTGAAAGTTCATGACTTGGCTTTGAGAGCAGATTATGAGATTGCCTCCAAAAAACAAGATTTCTTCTTTGAGCTTGATGTAAGTTTAATTTCTCTTCTAATGGTTGTACACACAGCATGCCAAGTATGTGTGTTAACCCCTTAAGGACTGGACTGTTTTTGCGATGTTGTACATTTGCGACCAGGCATATTTTTACACTTTTGTGGTGTTTGTGTTTGGCTGTAATTTTCCGCTCTCTCATTTACTGTTCCTATACAAATTATATATTGTTTTTTTCAGGACAAAAGGGGCTTTCTTTACATACCATTATTTATATAATCTCATGTATTTTAATTTAAAAAAAATAAAAAATCTGATGAAAAATTGAAAAAAATACATGTTTTTTGACTTTTACTTGAAAAATCTTTTACTCCTCTACAAAAGCGAATGAAAAAAACTGCTAAATAGATTCAAAATTTTGTCCTGAGTTTAAAAATACCTAGTGTTTACGAGCTTTTTGCTTTTTTTTGCATGTTATAGGGCTATAGGTACAAGTAGGATATTGCGGTTTCAAAACATACATTTTTAAAATTTATCAATAGTGACATTGTAACACTATTATCTGTCATAAATCTCTGAATAACACCCCACATGTACATATTTTTTTTAAAGTAGACAACCCAGGGTATTCAATATGGGGTATGTCCAGTCTTTTTTAGTAGCCACTTAGTCGAAAACACTGGCCAAAGAAAGCATTCATATTTGTTTGTGTGTGAAAAAAGTAAAAAAACTAAATTGAACGCTAATTTTGGCCAGTGTTTGTGACCAAGTGGTTACTAAAAAAGACTGGACATACCCCATTTGCAATACCTTGGGTTGTCTTCTTTTGCAAATGGTATGCCATCATGGGGGTAATTCTCATTCCTGGGCTACCATACGCTCTCAAAGGCAACGTAACCAACCTGGCCATTTTCAATGTAAAAATATTTGACCCATATATTTGACCTTGTAACTTTCAAAAATGCTATAAAACCTGTACATGGGGGGTACTGTTTTACTTGGGAGACATCGCTGAACACAAATATTAGTGTTTAAAAACTGGAAAACGTATCACAACAATTATATCATCAGTAAAAGTGCTGTTTGTGTGTGAAAAATGCAAAAAAAAGTCGCATTCAGTGACAATATCATTGCTGTAATATGATTTACTGTTTTGAATCACTAATATTTGTGTTCAGCGAAGTCTCCCCACCCCCCATGTACAGGTTTTAGGGTGTTGTAGAACGTTACAGGGTAAAATACAGTGCTAGCAAATTAAATTCTCTGGAATTTCGGCTTGGGTTGGCAGGCAGGTCCCTCAAATTGCAATCAATAAAATTACTGAATTAGGTAAAAATATTACATAAATACGCATGTAGAATTTAAATATATATGCATATTTATATATTTGAAGTCTACGTGTATATTTATATAATTATGTAATTTTGTATATGGACATGTATATTTCGTATTTATTTATATATACAGATATATATACAATGTCATTCTAAGTGTATTTTGATATAAATATATATATTAATTTTAAAATACAGTTAGAATAAAATTTCATATAGATATATAATTTTTTTACATTTTATTATTATTTAAAAAAATTGTATTTAATTTAAATTACTTATTTACATTATATACAATATATAGTTATTATAAATATTATATATATATACATGTGTAATTTAATTATAAGTGTATTTTTATATTAATATAAGTACATATTAATATAAAAATACACTTAGTATGACATTATATATATATATATATATATATATATATATATATATATATATATATATATGATATATAGACATATATTATATAGATATAATATATGTCTATATCATATATATACACATATAAAAAAAAATTTTCATTTTTATTAACACTAACTTAGGACGGTCATCGGTCGGCAACGCAAAAATGCCGATGACGGTCCTGCACCGTCGTCGCTCCTTAAGGGGTTAAAGACACAACTTCTGTAATAAAAGGGAATCATGACGGAAAATTTCCGTCATCTGTCCATAAGGGGTTACATTTTTTGAATGTGTACAAGAACCTTTTTTTTGTTTTGTTATTGAGGCAATTGAGACACACAATGCATACAAAACGGAGTCAAAACAAGTGTACATAGGTATAGCTGAGCTTGACATGAGCGAGAACTTGAAGGCTTCATTATTAAGCACCTACTTTCTTAATTTTATTGGGTTTTTTTGTTTTTTTTTATCCTGAAAAAAATTACTGATTTATTGTAGGAACTGAATATTCTGACTTGAAGACTCTTTGATTTCCTACTGTTTATAAACTAAATTAATACTATGGACTAATTACTATTATCTGATTGGGGAGGGGCGAGTTCAGTGTCTGTGTACGTCTGGTTATTAAGCAATACTGGGGACTTTTGTATGGTTGTCTGAATTAAATATAAAGAATATGAATTCCTATGTTTTGTCAAATTTCTTTATTATATTTTACTTAAAAGCGGCACTGTCTTGGGACTTTCAGGTTTTGTAAAGACTCAAAGATGACGTCGCCACTGGGGGTTTAGTAGCCTTGCGCATGTGAGTTCAGCGTTGACCTCTATTGAGGATCCCAAAGGACCAGTATCCTCTATAAACAGAGCCAATTCCCTGCAGTACCCACACTGCTAGTACCCATCACCACTGACAACCAACATACACACACCTTACAAGCTGCCTATCACATGCAATACTGCAAGCAGTCCCACACATATCCTACCAAACACAAAATGGGACATGTCTGCCACAAACAATTCCACAAGCAGCTCACATTGATATGTATAATACACAATACCGCAAACTACTCATGAACATATACAATATAACAGCCCACATACAAATACAACACTGCAAAGCCACTGCAGCACCCATAAATAACACAAGCACAATACGGCAACATACACACCTTTAGGATTGCCTACCCCTAGTGTTAGCTGACCGCTCTAGCCAGGCTTAGGAAAAATATGTAAGACAAAGGAGTTGTTATGGTTTTAGTTAAAAATAGATAAAAGAAATAGACAGTAGGAAAGAGGGCAAGAAGAGTACCATATATACTCGTGTATAAGTCGATCTCATGTATAAGTCGAGTGCAGTTTTGTGACCAACAATTGTGAAATATGCTATGTCTCGTGGATAAGTCGAGGGTAAAACTTGGGGCTATGAAATTCTGTGATTTTTATAATTATATACACACTCATACAAACACACACACTCATACAAACACACACTCTGCATTATATATACACACACTCATACAAACACACACTCTGCATTATATACACACACTCTGTGTATATAATGCAGAGTGTGTGTTTGTGTAGTGTGTGTGAACCAGGTGGGGGGAGGGCATTTTTATTATTTACATTTTTTTTTTAATTTAATTTTTTTTTTTGTCCCCCCTCCCTGCTTGTTAACTGGTCAGGGAGGGGGGCTATCTTAATCCCTGGTGGTCCAGTGGCATGGGCTGTGAAGTGGGGGGGCCGGCAGGAAGCATTTACTTGCCTTTCCTGCAGCTCCTGTCAGCTCCCTTCTCCTCCGTTCCGGTCAGCTCCACTGTAAGTCTTGCGGTCTGGCTGACGACCGCGGCTCTCTAAGTTGCCATAATACAGACAGTGACTCGAGTATAAGTCGAGTGGGGGTTTTTAAGCACAAAAAATATGCTGAAAAACTAGACTTATACTCGAGTATATACTGTAAGTGATTTTGAAAACGTAAGTACAGCGTTAGTGACACCTAGAAGAAGATTCTGTTGCAAACCTGTGGTCATGTTCATGAATCTTTGCGTAGTGTTTGATGGACACAATGCCTTTAAAGTCCTTTTTTTTTTTTTTTTTTTAATTTTACATGCTGTTTCATAGGTATTGCACTTTTTGTCTGTGGAATCAAAGCTATGATCAAAGTTTGATTTTTGTTTCATATACAAAAATATCAGACCTGTACTTCACATGATCTGTGGTGATAACTAAACTTTGTAAACATACTGTGTGTTTTTTATGAAATTGTAGTCAAGGCAAATCCAATGTGAGCAGATTTATTGGCGCAGATGAAAGCAAAATTTCAGCCGCAACAGGGCCTTTGTCAAGCTTGACACAGGCCCTGTTGCGGAAAGAAACTTTGCTTTCATCTGCTCCAATAAACCTGCTCAATTTGGATTTACCTTGAGTGCTTGGACCATCATTTACTTTCTGCAAATTACATTGAGGATTGGTCAACCTCAGACCCGGTTGCACCCTGGGATCCAGAAGAGTGCGGTACCCTTTACGGTAATTATATCTATGAAATTGAAGTGGCATAAATGTTTCAACCTTATGGTTTTAGTTGTACTTAGGGGGTATTCATACTGTACGTTTCTCTGGGCGTGTTCATAATTTATAGTTATGTGTGTAGTACTTAATATAAGAAAACAACTTGCATGCAAGCTATATTAATACAGGCCCTGTGTAGTCCTGTTTTTTGGGGGGTTTTATTTATGAAAATCTTTTGTTGTAGCGTGATTCAAATGAGCCTTGTATTCCAAAAACCTTTTTCCTTTTGCCTCTCCTATCCTGCAAATTTATTGTATAATCTCGATTGCAGTAGTCAAACATTTTTATTCAAAATGTCCTTTCAAATGACTTCCCAGTGATTTTTCACCTTTTCTTCCTGTGTCTTTAGTCACTAAATTAAAATATCTGTTTTTAATACCGTTTAAATTGCTGAATGATGTGTTCCTTATAATTTTTTCTTAAAGACTGACAACATGAAGTAAATAATTACATATGATTACAGGCAATGGATCACCTGCAATCTTTTATTTCGGATTGCGACAGGCGAACAGATATTGCTAAGAAGAGACTTGCTGATACTCAAGAAGAGATCAGTGCAGAAGTTGCTGCCAAAGTAAGCAATATAAAAGTTCTATATATATATATATTGTGTACTTTATTATTTATTTAATATATATATATATTTGACTAGAGTATAAACCTGGGGTGGGAAATGCAGCAGCTACTGGTAAATTTTTAAATAAAATTAGATCCCAATAAAATAATGAATGCAGTGTGTAGTTAATGAATGCAGAATGTGTGTGTGTGTATAATCAATGCGGTGTGTTTGTGTAGTGTGTGTGTGTGTGTAAACTGGGTGGTGGGAGGGCTTTGTTTTTTGTTTTGTTTGTTTTTTGTCCCGCGCCTCCCTGCTTGTTACCTGGCCGGGAGGAGGGGGGGGCGGCCTATGTCATTCCCTAGTGGTCCAGTGGTATGGGCTGAGCAGTGGGGGGGGGCGGCAGCAAGCTGTTACTTACCTTCCCAGCAGCTCCCTTCATCTGCCAGTGTAAATCTCGCGGTCTGCGTGCCGTGCAGATAATCCGTGGCAGCGCTCTGACTGCCACAAGATTTACCCAGGGAGATGAAGGGAGCTGCTGCCCCCCCCAGTATGTACGTTATATATAATCTGCCCCCACCTCCTATCACCACCGATCCAGTACCAGCACTTTATTTAGCATACTGCAATACAAAAATAAAGTGGCTTGATCCTCATTTTCCTTCAGAGCACTGCAATTATGGAATAACCTCAGGGTCACAGTCAAATCTTCATTCAATCTAAAATCTTTAAGAGATCTATGGCAATATACCTCAATACAGAATGCACCTGTCATGATTGAATATGTTTTATCATCAATTATGTGTTAAATTTATGTGTGTGTGTTTGTGTATAAATAGCAGAGGCTATGAAATAGTTATTTTAATTATAATAAATTTACTACTCCGACCTAGATGGTACAGAGACCTCATTAACCCTTCATTGCAAAGGATGTTCTCTACACTGATCTTAACATTACCTCAATTTTTGGTGATTCAGGGGGACTAGGAGAGACCTCTGGTCTCTTATGTTTCACTTATTATATGTATAACTATATGTATAGACAGCATATTCTGTGACCTAATAATCTGTCAGATATCTGAACTACTTGTGGAATTCCTAGTTGCTAAATTGGCAGGAGTTTTAGGACTTTCTTTGTATTTTGTAAGTTTGTATTCTAGCATGCTAGCTGAAATAATGTTGAAGCCTTTCTGTAGAATTAGAAAAAAGAAAGGAAAAAAAAAAAAACTTTTACACATGAACTTATCCTCTCTGGCTGTTAGCTATAAGGAATACTTCCCACCGGTATCAGTTTTGTATATATGTTACATTCACCGCCAACACGCAAAGTGTACTACTGACTGTTCTGTGCGAAGCATCATATTTGCCAATCTTATTGGATGCTGCACATGCTCAGTTTGTCTTAAATGCTGCTCTGAGAAGGATTTGATGATGCTCAGCACTAGCAGGGAAGTAGTACAGAAGTGATGGATTGTTAATCGGGGCACATTTTTATAGGATAGGAAGGCATTAAAAAAAAAAATTACTAGCATTGACTATACCTGTAAGATTGCATAGAACATATAAAAGTTCTAAATTAGATATTTAATCTGTTAGAAAGGAAAACTACATTAATACCAGTTAACATATGGGGAGTGTGGGATGGCAATTTGGAAGGATTTCCACAGGAGTTTCTTCATATACAAAAATATCAGACCTGTACTTCACATGATCTGTGGTGATAACTAAACTTTGTAAGATAGTAGTCCTTTTGATTAAGGGCAAATTAGATAAAATCCATTGCAGGTCGATTTGCAACCAAAATTATATTTTATTTATTTTAATAAATAAATGTTTCTTTGCTTAGGCAGAAAGAGTGCATGAATTAAACGAAGAGATTGGAAAATTATTGGCTAAAGCAGAACAATTGGGAGCAGAGGGAAACGTTGAAGAATCTCAAACTGTTATGGATGAAGTTGAAAAGACTAGAATTCAAAAAAGAGAAGCTGAGGTTTGTTATCCTATACTAAATTAATTTCCTGCATTATATTATATTCATTGATATATGTAACAACATTTTCATAATTCTTTTAGTGTAATTTGGTATGAGAATATCTATAGATTTTACTTAAAAGGGACACTCTAAGCAGCAAAACAACAATAGCTTAATTGTTGTATAGACCATGTCCCTGCATTATAACTGCTCAATTCTCTGCCATTTAGGAGTTAAATATTTTTGTTATGCATTAATTGAAACACCTCCCTTGCATGTGACCTGCACATTTCCTTTATTGCTCAGTCTGTTTAATTTAGAATGTATCTCCTGCTCAGTTAATAGCTTGTGAGAACCTGCAGGAACTTCCTGTGTCTGATTTATAGTTCAATTAGCAGAACAGTAGATAATAGCTTAAACGGAAACTATAGTGCCAGGAAAACTCGTTTACATGGCACTATAGCTCCCCCCTGTGGTGCAGAAGGGGTTAAAAATCTCTTCTTTCATTTACCTGTGCTCCGCTCCACCCATGCTCCTCCCCCGCCGACGGGGAAGACTTAATGTGCATGCACATTAATGGCCGCACTCGCATTAGGCTTTCACCATAAGAAAGCGTTATTAAATGCTTTCCTATGGGGATGTCCAGTGTCATTTAGGCGACTAAAAGTCGCCTTTGAGCCTGAAAGTTCCTCTAGGGGCTGTCTGGTAGACAGCCACTAGAGGAGTTGCTAACCCTAGCAGGTAATTATTGCTGTTTATAAAACCTACAATAAATACATGCTCAAGGTTAAGGGTAATGGGAGTTTGCACCCAGACCACTTCAATGAGCTGAAGTGGTATGGGTGCCTACAGTGTTCCTTTAAAATAAGCACACTGTGCAGGCTATGTAATTGAAAATGAAACAATGTATTTTCTTGTAAATTGTGTCACATGCAGGGTTGGTATGGCTATGGCTGCAGAAACAAGTGATTTAACTCCCTAATAGAGAATTGAACAGGACTGCAAATATGAGTTCTATACACTAAAACTTTATTAAGTTGTTTAGAGAATCCCTTTTAAACATGATTTAATTTAAAAAGATTGCTTTGCGATAAAATGGCTTTTAAGCAACTAGATGTGATATTCTGTGCCCTTATTTATGCAATTTCCCTCCTTGTAGGAAATCTACCGCAATTCTATGCCAGCCTCAAGCTTTCAGCAGCAAAAGCTGCGAGTATGTGAAGTTTGTTCGGCTTACCTGGGACTACATGATAATGACAGAAGGTTGGCTGACCACTTTGGGGGCAAGTTGCATTTGGGCTTCATTGAAATACGTGAGAAATTAGATGTATTAAAGGTAAGGATCTTCAATTTGATACTGAAAATCTGTGCAGTTGTTTCCATTGCATGTGATAAATGAAATCATTCAGCAATGGATTTTATTGTATTGATGAAAATCAAGGGAAATTGTAATACTTACAATGTCTTTGCATTATTAAAGAGCTAAATACTTTGCATTAGTTTGTATGTACTGAATTTGCCTTTCTTCATAGAGACAATCCAGTCAACATACCCACTTCATGTAATTGAAGTTGTTGTGGTGATTGGAATTCCTGGTCAGCTGCAACCTGGCTCTTCTGCTGCAATGGCTAAAACTTCTGCATTGACTCGAGCTGTGATGGGCAGCATTGATAGATTGTGAAAAACTGAGCACAGTCAGCTGATGCACTCATATAACTCATCTTTGGTATGAATTGGTATGACTAAGGCAGAGTGCAACTCTAATCTAGCCATACCCTCCAGTGGCATCAAGGCTGGAAGTGCCTGGGGACATTCAAAAAATGGTTTACCGCTTAACCAAGAGTCATTGCCAGGGGACTTCAGGCACCATAAGTACTTTAATAACATGATGTGGTTATGGTGACTAGAGTGTGTCTCTGTAGCATACAAAATAACCGATGAAGGGAAAAGAGCAAATCAAAACACAATATTTCATTACATGAAAAACATTTATTTGAAATTAAATTTGCACGTGAAACTTTTGTTAATAAACCAGTTCTAATTTCATTAAACAAGTGACTGTCCTTCCGCAAAATGACAAAACATTATATTCTCTTTTATTGTTAGAGGCTTGTGGCAGAAAAAAAGGAGAGGAGAAATCAAGACAGACTGAAACGTAGGGAGGAAAGGGACAGAGAGGAGCGAGACAAACTGAAAAAGAGGTAAGTTACTGTCCTCTAGTGTGATAATGTAGGGTACAACTCTACAAAATAATTTAAAATTATCAAGGTCATGTGTGAGAACAGCTGGGGGGCGGGGTCCCTCTTTCTGCATCATTTGCTCTTAGTCTTCTAATGAAATACATATAATTAGAGTTTCTATTTAAGTATATTTACTTTAATATCTTATATTTATTACATCATTGCATGGTCTGTTTAGTTACTATTTCATTCAACTGCTGCTAAATATTTGTATTGATCATTCCACAAATAAGCTAATCAGATCAATTATGAACTAAAATTGGGGAATTTCAAATTCTAGTCCAAAATATTGGAATTTGCTAAATTATGCTACTTCTGGTTTCTCAGTTGATCTCTCTGGATTATTTTTTAAATCACCTAAAATTCAAGGTTTATTGAATAACCCTGATTTGTAACTTAAGATGTCAGTGTTACTTTTACTCTTTTAATTATAATTACTTAATTTCACTAAAGAGTAGTAATTTGCATACATAATTTTTTAAATGTTGTGCTTCTTTACAAATCTAGAACCAGGTACGTTGTCAGACTGTACTGAAACAGTATGACTACTTACTGTGGGACAGTGCCAAGGCACTCCTGGTGCCTCAGGTGTTCCTGTAAAGTAGTAACTTACTACGCTAATCTACATTGTGTTGTTTTTTGGATGTGCACATTTCATGCTTCCAAGTGCCATTTTGTACATAACAGCAGTATTTGAATAAATTAACTACGATTTCCTTTTTGTCACTTAGGTCAAGATCCAGAGAACGCCGCAAACGCCAATCTCGTTCTTCTTCTCGAGATCGTAAAAGAAAAACAAGGTCTAGATCTCGTGAAACACATCACAGACCCAAGTCTCACTCAGGTAGCCGTAGCCGCAGTCGCAGTCACCACAGGAGTCGAGATAGGAGCAGGGACCGTAGTTCCAAAGCAAAGTACGTTTATTTTTATTTTTTATTACTGGTGGAGGGGTGCTTTGTTTTTAATTTGGTGAATAATTTTGACTATGGGGAAAAAAAAAATCTGCATGAACGGAGCATACACTAACATAAGGCCCTCGGAAGCATTGAATTAATGCTTTCCAATGGGAATTTCACTGACTCTGGATGTCCTCATTGCATAGCGTGAGGACATCCAGGTCACACCCTTGGCCTCTCTGCTCACCCATACTAGGACAAAATCCTACTCAAAGCACACTGACCAGCAAGTGGTCCTTCATACAGAATTATTCATCTTGCTCCTGAGAATCAACCTACCAAGTGTTCAGGTGTACCCAAGACCAGGGACTTCGTCTGGATATGGCTTCTGTGAGGCTTCATCTATGTTTTTGAAAGCAAGAAAAGAAAGTTAATGTATTTTTCTTTTTACAATATCAACCAGTAAAGTGAAAAATGTTTTCAGCAATGCCATGTGTCTTAAATAATGTAAGGCTCTTAAGGGTTAAACACACAGCAGCTATTAGCAGTGCACAATATGTTACAATGAATGTTGTGTTAAAGTCATTTTCCTTGTCACATCCACTCCAAAATATGAAATAGGTCAGGCTTGTGGAATTTGTCTTAATATACAAAATATCTATCCAGATAAGCTCTTGTTTTGCCGTGACCAATTTGAAATATTGGAGAGGGTGGCAAAAGTTCAAACGAAAGCATTTAAAAAAAAAAAAAAAAAGCGGAGCAGATTCTGTTTTACTCAGCTCTGCCAATATCTCAAGCTAATCTACCAATAGGGCTGCCATACACGAGAGGTCGCCCGGGGCAGTCTTCAAGTACCAGTACATGCCTTTCATTTTCAAATCCAGGCTGAAACGAGGGAGGGAGGAAGCGGCCCGCGGTCTACCATCTCCCTTCACACGTTGAACAGACTGTGCTGCTGGGGCCTCCCGCGCCCTTTACCACACCGAAGACTGAGTACACTGACCGCTCCTTGCCGGATCAGCTCTCCTCAATGGGTAGGTGCTCTCAGAAACTCCAACCATGCAACGCACATGAAGCACAAGATATAGGGGTCCCAATTCCAGCGACCGGCCCAGCACAATCTGGTGACTCAGGAGGGCCATGAGACCTCAGTTAATCCTCAGCACCCCATGCCAACCACAACTCAGCCAACACCACAGACTCCTGAGCAGCCAGCCCCAATCATTCCGGACTTGACTCTGGCCACGAAGCAGGATATTAAAGACCTCCTGGCTGACTTTCGACAGACGCTAACAGCAGACATTGCTGTAATTCAAGCTTAGATGCAGGCGGCCACTGACAAGGTCCGCGCCACAGAGGAGGACATCCTCAATGCAAGAGAAGATCTACTGAACATGAGAGAATCCCTTAACTCCGTGCAAAAGTCGCAACAAGCACAATCGGTGCCCTGGATGACCGCTCCCGTCGCAACAATTTAAAAACATGCAGGACTACACCTCCCATGGTGCTTTGCCAGCATTATGGATGTAAGAGCATTATGGGGGATGCAGTCCACAACATCTGGAGTGCCGAAGGTTGCCTACCCCTGCTTTAGACATTAACTACGAAAGAACTGTCACATTACTTGAGACGCATGGGTGCCTCGCTCTTGCCACCGACACAGGCCAAAAAGTTAATGACTGATGGGGTATTCCGCCTACCAAAATCCCATAGAGCTCCTACATCAACCGTGAGCAATGTGCTAAACCGTTGCTCCTTCGCACAAGACGAGAAATCTTTACCAACAGCCCTGGGAACGAAGACGCCCTATCTGTTTGAGGTCACGGAACTAACATTCTGCCAAGACTTCTCGAGGTCCACCCTGCAGTGGAGACGATCGCTCTTCTCCATCACAAGTCAGCTGAGAACAGCCAGAATCCCATACCGTTGGGCAACTCCAAGACCCAATGTGGCGGAACATAATGGAACTGTACGTAACCCATCTTCTACTGAGAACGCACTAGCCCTGTTTAGGGCACTGGGACTTCCTGTACCGGAAAGGGAAGCAGGAGGCCAAAATGGTACTCTCCATTGGGATCCAACCACTGTGATCCCCTTCGTCCCACATTTACAACAGACTGAGAATGGGGACCTAACTAGGCAAGCTAATACTACTTTGAGTAGCCACAGGCTGCATCATCTGTTTATTGTTTAAGATAAATCCCCACCCCCTTGGTTAGGGGTAACAGAAATGAGTCCGTACATCCTCTTATAGCCTGGGCTTTATTAGGGCCACTGCACTTAGCCAAACCAGATCAAACTCCGCTACAGGCTCGCTAATTTTTTGCCACTACTATACAGCATAATTTACATAATCTCCAAACCTCATCCCTCATATAGCAAGGCCCTTCCCTGCTGACATACAGATGACCCAAGCATACCACAAGCTGCAGGCACAAGCCCACCTCCTATGTCTCACTCCTGGTAGCCGCACAGACCACCTCATTCTGGCAAGTTAAAACCCGCCAGGTTATATCCCCACATGTCTAACCTACAATAAATACTGTAAAATGATATGTTAAGATGATTGTTTTGCTTATTTTTCAAAAAGTAAAAGGCTACTAATCCCCGTCCCGCGAAAGGGTTAAACTTTTTCAGTCGTTTAAATTTCTGCAGTGTTTTTTTAGCTTTTCCCCTTACTCATTTACTGTACCCACACACATTATATACCATTTTTCCTCGATCTAAAATGGTCTTTCTAAAGATACCATTATTTTCATCATATCATAATTTAAAAAGAAAATTATAAAAAAACACCTTTTCTAACCCCCCAAAATCAGTTGCGCATCTGCAACCGCCCCAAAACACCCGTGCTAAATAGTTTCTAAATTATGTCCTGAGTTTAGAAATACCCAGTGTTAACATGTTCTTAGCTTTTTTTTGGAAAGTTATAGGGCAATAAGTACAAGTAGCACTTTGCTATTTCCAAACTATTTGTTTTTCTAAATTAACGCAAGTTACATTGTAACACTGATATCTGTCAGGAATTCCTAATTAACCCTTCACATGTATATATATTTTTAAAAGACAACCTAAGGTATTAAACTTGGCGGATTTTGAATCTTTTCATGCAACCATTTTACCACCAATCTATGCCAAATTTAGAAATAAAAATAATTTGTGATTTGACACACACAGCAATTTAAGAATACATGTACTGAGAACTTTAACCCCTTAAGGACTGGACTGTTTTTGCGATGTTGTACATTTGCGACCAGGCATATTTTTACACTTTTGTGGTGTTTGTGTTTGGCTGTAATTTTCCGCTCTCTCATTTACTGTTCCCATACAAATTATATATTGTTTTTTTCAGGACAAAAGGGGCTTTCTTTACATACCATTATTTATATAATCTCATGTATTTTAATTTAAAAAAAATACAAAAATCTGATGAAAAATTGAAAAAAATACATGTTTTTTGACTTTTACTTGAAAAATCTTTTACTCATCTACAAAAGCGAATGAAAAAAACTGCTAAATAGATTCAAAATTTTGTCCTGAGTTTAAAAATACCTAGTGTTTATGAGCTTTTTTGCTTTTTTTGCATGTTATAGGGCTATAGGTACAAGTAGGATATTGCGGTTTCAAAACATACATTTTTAAAATTTATCAATAGTGACATTGTAACACTATTATCTGTCATAAATCTCTGAATAACACCCCACATGTACATATTTTTTTAAAGTAGACAACCCAGGGTATTCAATATGGGGTATGTCCAGTCTTTTTTAGTAGCCACTTAGTCGAAAACACTGGCCAAAGTAAGCATTCATATTTGTTTGTGTGTGAAAAAGTAAAAAAACTAAATTGAACGCTAATTTTGGCCAGTGTTTGTGACCAAGTGGTTACTAAAAAAGACTGGACATACCCCATTTGCAATACCTTGGGTTGTCTTCTTTTGCAAATGGTATGCCATCATGGGGGTAATTCTCATTCCTGGGCTACCATACGCTCTCAAAGGCAACGTAACCAACCTGGCCATTTTCAATGTAAAAATATTTGACCCATATATTTGACCTTGTAACTTTCAAAAATGCTATAAAACCTGTACATGGGGGGTACTGTTTTACTCGGGAGACATCGCTGAACACAAATATTAGTGTTTAAAAACTGGAAAACGTATCACAACAATTATATCATCAGTAAAAGTGCTGTTTGTGTGTGAAAAATGCAAAAAAAGTAACTTTCACTGACAATATCATCACTGTGATATGTTTTACTGTTTTGAATCACTAATATTTGTGTTCAGCGAAGTCTCCCGAGTAAAACAGTACCCCCCATGTACAGGTTTTAGGGTGTCGTAGAACGTTACAGGGTAAAATTACAGTGCTAGCAAATTAAATTCTCTGGAATTTCGGCCTGGGTTGGCAGGCAGGTCCCTCAAATTGCAATCAATAAAATTACTGAATTATGCAAAAATATTACATAAATACGCACGTAGAATTTAAATATATATGCATATTTATATATTTGAAGTCTACGTGTATATTTATATAATTATTTATGTAATTTTGTATATGGACGTATGTATATTTCTTATTATTTTTATTTATTTTTATATACATAGATATATATACAAATTCATTCTAAGTGTATTTTGATATAAATATATATATATTAATTTTAAAATACAGTTAGAATAAAATTTCATATAGATATATAATTTTTTTTTAAATTTTTATTATTATTTAAAAAAAATTTATTTAATTTAAATTACTTATTATTTATATTTTATAATAATATATATATACAATATATATAGTTATTATATATATTATATATATACGTGTGTAATTTAATTATAAGTGTATTTTTATATTAATATAAGTACATATTAATATAAAAATACACTTAGTATGGCATTATATATATGATATATAGACATATATTATATAGATATAATATATGTCTATATATCATATATACACCTATATAATTATTATTTTTTTTTATTAACATTAACTTTAATTTATTTTTTGATTTTACACTAGCAGGGAGACTGCCTGTCAGCACAGGCAGTCCCCCTGCAGGCAGCACTATGGACACCTATTGTGACCATGTGATCGCTGTGTTAAGCGATCACATGGCCACAGGGGTCCTAATCTGCCGTGGGGAGACTGTCTGGGCTGCAGGCAGTCTCTCCACAACCGGAGCCACGCTGATCGCCGCCGGGGGAACGACGGCGATCAGGTAAGTAACTCTGACCGTTAGGACGGTTCAGGACCGTCATCGGTCCTCAAGGCAAAAATGCCGATGACGGTCCTGAACCGTCCTCGGTCCTTAAGGGGTTAAGGGTTACTGCCAAAGAACAACCCAATATGTGTTCAGCAACATCTCCTGAGTACAGTGATACCACCCATGAATAGGTGTGTTGGGTTCTCTGGGGGCTAAAAGACCTTATTTGGAGGGTGCACACTCCAGTTTTCCAAATTCACAGCTGGTCATCATGCGCACATGTCCTATTTGGGACATTTTTGAAGCTGGCCAATGTAATTTACCCCCATCAAGCCATTTTTTTTATTTTTAAAGTAGACAACCCACAGTATTCAAAATGGGGTATGTCCACTCTTTTATTTAGTAGCCACTTACTCACAAATCCTGGCCAAAATTAGTTTATATTTAGATTTTTTTTTGCATTTTTTTTTTTTTTTTACACAAACTGCCATTTCACTGATATCAGTATAATACATTTTACTGCGCTAAAACCCTCATATTTCTGTACAGTAAAGTTTTACGAGTACAACAGTACCACTCAAGTATAGGTTTTATGGTAATTTGGAAAGTTACAGGGTCAAACATAAGATTTGCCAATTAAGTTTTTTGTAAACGGCTGTTTGCCAGAGAGACAGACACACACACACACACACACACCCACCCACAACTTTGTAAATAGGTATCAACACTCTCGGATTTTAAAATTTCCAAAATTTATTTAGTTCAAAGTTAAAAAACATAATGTATTTTGATCCTGATGAAAGTCCTCTATGTAGGACTGAAACGGTGATCTTTTTTTTAATTTTGGACTTTTAAAATCCGAGAGTGCTGATACCTATTTACAAAGATGGATACTACTAGCCATGGTTTGCTAGCACCCGGTCATTAAAGGACCACTCTAGGCACCCAGACCACTTCAGCTTAATGAGTGGTCTGGGTGCCAGGTCCAGCTAGGGTTAACCCATTTTTTTTATAAACATAGCAGTTTCAGAGAAACTGCTATATGTTTATAAATGGGTAACTCCAGCCCTCAAATGGGGGCACCTTCAGGGCACTATAGTCGTCCTTTAAGGGACTTTAAACGTGAGTGCAAGAGCTTTTTCTTTATATATATATATGCATTATATGTATATTTTAAAATTATTTAATATTTTATAATATGTTATACATATTTTGTTTTACATTTTAGGTTCCTGGGGTACTGCATGATTGCTTTAAGTCACCCTGCTGGCAGCTCCATAGACTTCCATTGCGGCTGTGTGATCATCGTGATCACATGGCCCCGGAGGGGACGGAGCTGCAGCAGGGGGACTGCTGGGATATCGGGCAGTCCCCCTGGGCCAGTATCGCCAGTCCAGGTGAGTTCTCGGGTTATTGTAGCCACGGACGTGCAGGGTACGTCGGTGGTAATTAACTGCTGTTTTGGTTTTTTGCCGGACGTACCCTGCACGTCCGATGTCAGGAAAGGGTTAATGAGATTGTGCTTTGATTCTGTGAGAGGCCATTTTTGGGAGAAGATGAGGCCTAGGATACAAATTATTTAATTGTTTAAACTAAACTATAAATAATCTTGAAATAGGCATTGAAAGCCATGTTTCAGTGTTTGTAGATGACACAAAACTGTGTAAAGTAATAAAATGCGAGCAGGATATTGCTTTGCTGCAGAGGGATTTGGATAGATTGGGTGACTGGGCACTTAAATGGCAGATGAAATTTAACATAGAGAAATGCAAAGGTATGAACTTCGGGGTCAAGGTATGCACTTCGGGGTAGTGAATTAGGGATAACCACACACGAGAAGGATTTGGGAATTGTTATAGACAACAAATTAAGCAGCAGTATGCAATGTCAATCTGCAGTTGCTAAGGCCAGTAAGGTTTTGTCATGTATAAATAGAGGCATAAATTCTCGGGATGAAAACACCTTGAATATGCTGTGCAATTTTGGGCACCTGTTCTAAAGAAGGATATCATGGCACTAGAAAAAGTGCATAGACGAGCTACAAAATTGATAAAAGGAATGGAGCATTTTAGTTACGAAGAAAGGTTAAAAAATGTAAATCTCTTTAGTTTGGGAAAAACGGCGCCTCAGAGGGGATATGATAACATTATACAAATATATTCCGGACCAGTACAAACCATTATATGGAAATCTTTTCAGAAACAAAGCTATACATAGGACACAAGGTCACACATTTAGGCTGGTACAAAGGAGATTTCATCGAAGGCAAAGTTACAGTAAGAGCAATAAGGATATGGTATTCTCTGCCTGAATAGGTGGTTTTATCAGAGTCCATACAGATGTTTAAACTACAATTGGATACAAACTTGCAAAAAAATACAGGGATATAATTTCTAATTAGTGGGGTGATAGCTGCTTGATCCAAGGAGACATTTGACTGCTATTTTGGGGTCAAAAATGATTTTTTTTTTTTTCCTAGTTTGTTGCAAAATTGGAAGCGCTTCAAACTCGTTTTATTTTTTTTGCCTTCTTTTGGATCAACAGCAAAAACATATGTGAGGAAGGCTGAACTTGATGGACGCAAGTCTCTTTTCAGCTATGTAACTGGAACTGATGTAACCATTGCTCCATTGGTGTATGGGGTGCATATAGCACAGGTTGAGTAACTGGTCAAGAACCACGTGGCAAGATTTATTTGCCTCTTAGTTCAGAATTTACATTAAATAGTTTGTGGAAAACTGGTTACATTTTTTAATTTGTTTGTTTATTTTGGCTTAAAATTTAAATTTCTCCTTTGTGTTTAAAATTCTCAATTCCCTATAAGTGTGTACCAATGAGAGATTTATTACTGAATATCTATTTCCATAATGGTGATGTCTTGCAAATCAAAGGTAAATTTGTATTTCTGTCACAGAGAATAGATTGCAGTTTGTTTTAATAATCTGATATTTTCACTCAGATCTTCAAGAGACAAAGAGCGGTCATCAAAAGATAGAGTATCCAGGGATCACTCAAGAGACCGGGAACGTAAACATAAGAGAAACAATGAAAGCACCAATGGAAAACCAGAGAGTCGTAGTTCGGAGGAGCTTGAGGCTGGAGAGATTTAAAAATAAAATAAAGTTTTTCTAAAGCTGCAACCTGTGACATAGTTTACAGATGCTTGTAAGGGACAAAATAACAGGGATGGTTTGTCACTTTTTTGCTAGAATAGCCATAAAGTCAAACCCTACTTGGATAAAAAAAATTTCTTTCATACATTTTTTACTTCTTTGAAAACATACTGAATCTTGCGTTCATCTCGGATGCTGCATTATAGAATGTTTTTGTCCTATTAAAGTCTATTTTATATCTGCATACACCTCATGAGTTTTAAACTAGGTGTTCCTGACTTAAGGTTTCACTGGTATACCCTAGTTTCAGGCAGTTATAAAAAAAATCAAAATAAAATCACAACCTTCAATGCCTTCATATTTTTGTTAATATTTGTGGAGTAGATTTTTATTATATTTTTTTTTTGCTGCTTGAACCTGATTTAAGCACACTTTTTGCCAGCTTTTGTAAAACCTCTACACTCCCTCTGCCCTTAAATCAATTTTTTTTGTTGTTGCCATTTTTAATGTGAACACATATTGCATATAGTGTGTATTCCTAGTATCACATCTTCTGCAATATAGATACATAGTTACATAAGCTTGTCATTTTTTTAGCAAAAATTCTTGTTCTGTTTTCCATACAGTAACAAATTTAATAAACCATAATTCTTTGTGATGCAATACTGTTATTCATACATGCCTTGCTCAAGAATTCCTTGTATGCTTCATAATATAATACAGCACTTGCAAATAATTGTAATTAAAACCCAATAGTGGACAAAAGCATCTTTAGGGCTTGTATTTGTCTATTCCTTGCAAAGACAATTCTGGCAAAAAAAAAGTTTCTTCCTCTGTATTAAATGTGAAAATGTATTTATAAAATAGATGGAATCCTAGACTGGTATGTTTTTTGGGTTTTTTTTGTGTTTTTTTTAAATCACTACTCGGCTAATGATGCAGCGAATTTTGTCTTTTCAAATGAGAACTTTATGTTCATAATATTTTCAGCAATTTAAATCTTTACTTTTGTCCCATGTAAGCAAGAATCTGAGTAACTTGTTTGTGTTGATTACTTTGTAAACCTGTCAGAAAATTTGCTGTTGAAATCCATAAATGATATCCAATATGCTGTAAATATTTTTGAAATCAGTATTTAAGTTTTGATTGTTTTATTCTGTATCTAAATAGTTTAGTTCATTAAAACTATATAGTTATGTCTAAATTTCTTTTCATCTGCAAAGCTTTTTCAGTCATTTGCAATAAAATATACCAGGTTTGATCTAATAAAACAGTTGAGTTGCATCCATAACAGTATTTGCCTATGTGAAAGTGACTGGCAGTAGAATATATTTATTTGCAACTGCTACAAGTGTGTTTTATATGGAGCTGCTGATTATTACATAAGCCTTAAAGGGACACTATAGTCACCCAGACCACTTCAGCTCAATGAAGTGGTCTGGGTGCCAGGTCCCTCAGGTTTTAACGTGCAGAGCGTCCATAGGAAAGCATTGAAATCTCAATGCTTTCCTGTGGACACTGAATGCGCGCGTGGCACTTGCCGCGCGCACACATTCGGCTCCACTGACGTCGGACGGGGGAGGAGAGGTCACCAGCGCTGGATTAAGGTAAGCTGCTGAAGGGGTTTTAACCCCATCAGTGCCACCGGAGGGGGACACTGAGGGTGGGGGCACCTTCAGGGCACTATAGTGTCAGGAAAACCACTTTTTAATGACACTATAGTGATCCTTTAAAACGCCTCTATCACATTCACGGGCAGGGATGGGAAACCACATGTGGCTGCGTAGGTTGTTAGATTTTAGCTTTTGACTGAATCCTAATTTTACAGAACAAATCCTTGTATCCCTATTAATACATTTTGAACGTATTTAGAATACTGAAGAATAAAGTAAATTTCAACAAAATAATCCTCCCAGATTGACCAGCACATCTAGAACATTAGTGAGAGATAAGCTCTAAATTGTCAACTGCTACGCTCATGATTTAGTTCTAACTGCCACTGTCTGTCCGCAGAAGGCTAGTTGGTGAGAAGTTATGGGGGGGATACTAGTCTATCTGCTTTTGACAACCTATGTTTCTAAGTGGAATTTGTAAATAGTTGCATAGCTCGTGTTTATTTTAATTCTGTCTGCTTAACAGCCCATCATGACAAAGAAGACCCAAGAGAACGCTGCAGGAAGAAAACTAATTTATTATTTATATATTCCCTTTAACATATGGTGGCAGTAGAACAATTGGATTGTGCTTATGTTCAGGACATCAATGTAAAAAAAAAAAAAAAAAATGTTTAAAATGCCCCTCCTACTTGCTTTATAAGAGACATGCCCAGAAGTATGCCCTCGCATCCCATTTCACCCGACACCATATCTCAGGAATAAGGCCTTCCCCCCGGGCATGACCCCTCAGGATTTTCGAGGACGCGGGCCTACCACCGGTACGGTCACCTATTCCAAGGCACAACATTCCACACCTTTGCAGACTTAAAGGCGCGGGCTCCTCTGACAGGCAGGGACTACTTTCGGTACCTGCAGGTACGGGACTATGCACGAAAACCACACATATTAAAAGCGGCCAGAGAAAAGCCCACATTCTATGAAACGATCTGTATGTTGGACGGACCACGTGCCGGCCTTATAACCCGACTATATGAGCAGCTCAGCGCCCCTACACAGGCATCCCAAGCACCTTTATACATAGCACAATGGGAAGCTGACCTCCAGCTAACACTGGACAGCGGGGACTGGCAGGACATATGGGAGGCAGCTACCAAGTCTTCAATATGGTTATATTGAGGTGGTACACCACCCCCGTCAAACTCCACCCCATGGGCAAATCACCCTCAGACTTGTGCTGGAGGGGCTGTGGGGAAAAGGGCACTTATTTGCACATGTGGTGGACCTGCCCAAAAGCTGCCCAATACTGGAGCGATATTGCCCGCCTGCAGACATATACTGAAAAAGCCAATCCGACCTGACCCGTGGACTTGCTTACTTGCCAAACCAATTGACAACCTCCCCACTAAGGAACAAAAGCTCCTGAATAAATTAAATCTGGTGGCCAGGCGCGCCTTGGCACAGACGTGGCTGCAGACCGACACACCGCATATGGATAGAGTAATTGGCAGTATTAAAGACACCTTCCTAATGGACAAACTCACCGCACAGGTGCAGGATACGTATGCAAACTTCCTTAAGGTGTGGGAGCAATGGGAAGACTATATGGACTCCCGCTCCCAAGCCTGAACCTCCCCCCCTCTGAACGACCCCCTCCTCCTCTCCAGCGGTGGGTCCTACGCCTTCTCTCCTGTCTCACCCCTCCCATCTACCTGTGCCGGCGGTCGGACTGGCCTGCGGGGCCGAGCGTGACGCGTCCTCCAGGGGCGCTTCCCGGTGGCTACGGGGCAGCCTCTGACGGTACTTACGGGGAGAATGAGGGTAACCATAATGGCTAAAGATCGACCTAAGCATTTGTCCTTTCCCTGTGGGTATACGGTCTTGCTCTGTGGACCATTACGCTTCTCCGAAATAAAACACAATTTGACTTTTCCACGGGTATCTGGACCCTAGGTCCCTACCCAGTTGGGGGTATCCTTGGTACTTAATCTACGACCCCCTAGAGGTAGGAGCGAATGCAAGAACTATCCCTCACTCACCATCAACAACTTTTAGAAACACCTTGTACGAGCACCAGACGTTGCCCGTTAGGGCAGGCCAGACGCAACTGCACTGTAGCCTCTGTGTGAGGGTTTCTTTTGGTCTATGGGGGCGCTGCGACGGCACTTATACTAAGATCTATCACGGGTTTGGAGCTTGCCGGGACGGACTGCTCCGGAGCGCTCCTGCGTGGGGGGGATGGGGGGGGGCTGGGTGCCATTGCAGCTCCTTAGTTACACCACCCCACGGGCATTTGGGGCCAGCTGTCAATACCCTGCGTACTCCCAGGATGATCAAGCTCTTTTCTATGTAAACGGTTACTTTTGGTTGACTTTTCTCTTCTTTCTTTGATTTTCTCTCCCTTTTATGTATGTTCTTGTTACAATATGAAAATGTGGCAGTACATGCTTACGACTACGGCAGCTACAGCAACAAGGTCCATCTCAGCTGGGAGCGGCCTCTGCGTAGGCCAAACCGGTGTATGTTTATCTCACTGTTCTGACAATGGCACTGCTGGCTTCTGCACAAGCCACACCACGCAGCCTACTCTGTATACTGATACATGCCACTGCTAAAATAAAGAATTAAAAAAAAAAAAAGAGAGAGACATGCCCAGCATGTCAGTTCTTCCTTGTTCCAGAATGGGATGGACAACTGATTGTTTGTGGTGAGGCATACGAGGTGTCATGGGGACAGTTGAGAGGACAAGCTCAGGCACATTCAAGTTAGTGCTTGTAAAAGCGACCTTTTATGACGAGGATGTTCCTGGTGTAATCTGTAAAATTACATCAGGGTGTCGCACCCTTGATGTTGCAGGTTGTGTGTCTGCACACAGCGGTGTAATGCACACCTGGGAGGACTTGCGCTCCACTGAAGTTCTGATCACGCTACTGCGCATGTGCAGGTCTGAACTTCAAATTTGGCACTAAATTCAAATATCAAATGCTTATTTCAGCTACAGTGTTAATTTTGATGGCAATTACTTGTTTTAGTCGACTAACTCTCCAGTACATTTTATTCGACTGTCTCTTTTGCCCCTCTGGAGGTTTCCCTCCTCCCCAAGCTCCTGTCTCTTTTCCCCCTCCCAGCACCATCTGTGTGTCTCTCTCTCCCCTAACCCCTCCACATGTCATTTCCTACCCTCCCACATGTGTCCTACCCGGCAGTGTTAATTTTGGCAGCAAATCTCAATTTAGCTTGTCAGTCTTTTACTACAAAGCCATTTTAGTTGTAGTTTAGTCTACTAAATCTGACAAAAATTGTAAGTCGATGCAGAATTATGGATGCTGTGTAGTTTGGATCTGCCCTGTCACCAGCCCTACCCACACAGCTCTGAGGTTTGTTTGTTTTTTTGAGGTAAGGTTGGTGATCTAAATACATTTTACAAGTTTCAGTTTATTTTGGAACTTTTCATATGTGTATCCTGCTTCTCCAGATAGAGTAGATAAGGAAAAAATGATTACTCCTGCGCCTAAGAAAGCAGTTTATAAATCTAAGCACCCATCATGCAGTGATTTTGGTACTCCACTTCTAACAGGGAGATTTGCAACTTTTGTTCCTCTCAGGCACTTAAAAACACACAGAATACCCAATTATTTCCTTTTAAAAAAAAAAAACCCTCAAAAGTTTGAGAGAAAATTTTCTTGAAATAGACAGCATAGTCTAGGGTTCCAGTAGCAGCACAAGGACAGACTGTTAAGAGCCAAAAAAGATCTAAATCAAGATCTAAAAAATTATCTTCTAAATAATGTTCTGCTTCAGAAACATCAGATTCATCATGTACGTCATCTAGTGTAGAGATGGGATTTCCACCAGATGAACTGAGAAAGTTTGTTAGGTTTCTTTAGTTTTGAGCAGATTCGATCTACTCATAGGCACCACCAGAAAATCAACATCCAAAATATACTTGAGAATCTGGAAAATATTTCTTCACTGGTGTAATGAGCATAACTGCCTTCATATGTCGCCATCCACAGATATGATTCTGCATTTTTATTTTATTTTTCCATATATAGTTTTTTTTATTTAGTTGAACAGGGTAGGTACATACATTTCGTGCAGTTGACAGTGTTAGATACATAAATCATTACATTGAAGTATTTCGCTACATTTTAACATGGTTAGGTGCACATGATGTTTACATAACAGTGAGTATCTACACATAAGTTATCGCATGGGTAAGTTGGTGTGTATCGTCAATGTGGGTTGTTAAGGCGTTTTGTTTTCTGATATTCCGGTTCATTGGAAGCCTAAAGGGGAACTTGGGGTGGGTGGGGAAGGGATCTAACTTGGGACTGGGGATGTATAAATCCCTAACCCTGCCGGCTCCTGTTCTGTTTACTCTTGGTTTGCATTCATTTAGCAGTTGTGTGTCTGTAGTTGTCTATGATTGCCTGTGCCTTAAGGATTTCATTTATATTTGTATACGCGTTTACGGTCACATTGGAGTTTGACCCTTCTGTGTGACATTATATTATTTGCTTTTACGGTTTGGGTCTCCAACAGCCCCACTCCCTCTCGTGCCTATTCTCCCGGCCCTGCACCCTGCTAGCCATTAGTTCATAGGAGCTGATTACGTCCATTCTGCTGCTAACTGCCTCTATGGTGGGTATTTTTGTGCTCTTCCAGTTTTGAGCTAGGAGGACCTTTGCTGCGCTATGTATATTGACTATCACTTTTCAGTGGGGATGTAGTGTCAACTCAGATATCATGTGTAATAGATAGTGTTCGGGCTGTAGCCGGATTAGGAGGTCTGTTGTGCTAGATATAAGGCCTTGTATTTGTTTCCAGAATGCCCCCAGCAGCGGGCACTCCCAAAACATGTGTAACATGGTTCCCGCTCCTCCCCCACAGTGCCAACATAGCTCAGATGCATCCTTGTAAATGTGTGACAGTCTATGTGGGACTAGGTACCACCACATAGAAATCTTGCAGTATGCCTCCCACAAAGAGATGCTCTTTGAGGCTCGTTTTGTATTTGTCACTGCCTCATACCATCGAGACAAGGGAATTTGGTGCCCCAACTCCTCTTCCCATTGCAGCATGTAAGATGTCTTCTCTCCGGACTGGCCGTTGAGAAGGGCATTATAATACATGGACAGTGGCTTCCTCAATTTAGGTGATAGAACTTGGGTGAGTAGTAGGGGAGGGTCCTCGAGTGGATTTCGCATTTCTTTTTTTTTTTTTTTTTAATTCTTTTTTTTTGTAGTGCTTAAGTTTTT